AGGCCTAGACTTTATGTTTATATTCAACTATGTATTATTTCAATAATAGCTATTCCAAATAAGACTTGCCTCTTTGAGATCCGAATTTTGCTTTACAAGCCTATTTCAGCATCGATGTTGAACAGGTGTTTCTGAGCCTGCCTATAGCCTACCACAGAAAGCCAGCCTTTGCTCATGGCCTTGTCAAGACAGTCCACTTGCTTATATTTGGAATACCTCAGTTTAATAAAATAATAACTGTTATTTTTGTTATTTAATATTTTTGCTGAATTATATTAGGCTATTTGATTTTTTTTTAATGATAGTATGGGCCTCTTTGATGTGTCTGTATTTTTTACTGTACCCAGAGTCCAGTACCCATCCGTCAGTGTCTCCTGATTACCTCTGGCTCACTGAGCCAGACTTTATTTCTCGAAATTTTTACAATTTAATTAAAAATGAAAACCTGAAATGGCTTGAGTCAATAACTATTCAACCACTTTGTTATGGTAAGCCTAAATAAGTTCATGAGTAAAAATTAGCTTAGCATGGACTCAATAATTGTGCAATAATAGTGTTTAACATTATTTTTGAATGACTATCTCTCTGTACCCCACACATACAATTATCTGTAAGGTCCCTCAGTCGAGCAGTGAATTTCAAACACAGATTCAACCACAAAGACCAGGGAGGTTTTCCAACGCCTCGCAAAGAAGGTCACCTATTGGTAGATGGAATAAAAAAAAAACAGACATTAAATATCCCTTTGGGCATGGTGAAGTTATTAATTACACTTTGGATGGTGTAGCAATACACCCAGTCACTACAAAGATACAGGCGTCCTTCCTAACTCAGTTGCCGGAGAGGAAGGAAACCGCTCAGGGATTTCACCATGTGGCCAATGGTGACTTTAAAACAGTTAGAGTTTAATGGCTGTGAAAGGAGAAAACTGAGGATGGATCTACAACATTGTAGTTACTCCACAATACTAACCTAATTTACAGAGTGATAAGAAAGAAGCATGTACAGAATATAAAAATTCCAAAATGTGCATCCTGTTTGCAACAAGGCACTAAGGTAATACTGCAAAAAAAATGTGGCAAAGCAATTAACTTTTCTCTCCTGAATACAAAGTGTTATGTTTGGGGCAAATCCAATACATCACATTACTGAGTACCACTCTCCATATTTTCAAGCATAGTTGGTGGCTGCATCATGTTATGGGTAAGCTTGTAATCGTTAAGGACTGGGTAGTTTTTCAGGATAAAAAATAAACAAAATGTAGCTAAGCACAGGAAAAATCCTAGAGGAAAACCTGGTTGTCTGTTTTCCACCAGACACTGGGAGATTTTACACTGGAGTGGTTTACCAAGAAGACAGTGAATGTTCCGAGTTACAGTTTTGACTTAAATCTGCGTGAAAATCTATGGCAAGACCTGGAAATGGTTGTCTAGCAATGATCAACAACCAATTTGACAAAGCTTGAAGAATTTTGAAAAGAATAATGGGCAAATGTTGCACAATCCAGGTGTGGAAAGCTCTTAGAGACTTACCCAGAAAGACTCACAGCTGTAATTGCTGGCAAAGGTGACTAACATGTATTGACTCAGGGGGTTGAATACTTATCAAATCAACATATATTAGTGTTTTCTTTTTCATGATTTGTTTTTACAAATGTCCGAATTTTTCATCCACTTTGACATTACAGAGCATTTTGTCTAGATCATTTGTCAAAAAAATTACAATTAAATACATTTTAATCCCGTTTTGTAACACAACAAAATGTGAAAAAAATCAAGGGGTGTGAGTACTTTCTGAAGGCACTGTAGTTTCACAGAGAAATATGACCAATACAACTATGCAAAGCAATATGGTCAGTTTTGTAACATTATATGTATTTCATACATAAAATTGTAAACGTTTGTGAAATAGAATTCGTGGGGAAGGAGTGAAATACAGCCGAATACATCCCAAATGGTACCTTATGCCCTATATAGTCACTACTTTGGACCAGGGCCCATAGCTCTGGTCAGAATTAGTGTACAGGGAATAGGGAGTCATAATCTATATATTTCAACCCTTCCTGATCTATTTCACTGATGTGATTCCTTTCTCTCTCTCGTCTGGATTGGATGCCCTGCACCTCATCCTGTCTGGGATGTCTCCTGTGTTTCCCTGCTGATGTTTGGTGAGTATCCAATTCTATTTCAGTGCTGCTAAAAGCTGCTCTTTAGAATAATTGAAGTAGGCTGTTTCATGTGATTATTTGACATCATGTGCTAAATGTTTTACTTGTAGGCAGACAGGAACATGACTGAAGGGCCTGCATTTTGGTCTATGGGAGTCAGAATACAGTATCCCCTTGTTTGAATATTTGAGCTCTAATATTTGCATTCTCAATGTCTCATAATGATAATTCTACTCCAAAATCACATCTAATCACACCAAGCATAGAGCTACAGGTGTAGGATCTTAATTTGAGCCAGTTTGCTACAACTGGAAAATAGTCCTACAGCAACAAGATATTTTAGAGGTTGATACATTTTTCGTAAGGGAAAATCAAGTCTGAAATTTCAAAGTGGAAATTGCAAACTTCAGAAGCGTTTTTAAACCTCAAATACACTACAAGTTTGAAATGTCCTGTTCTACTGCAACAGGGTGATCAAATTAAGATCCTACATCTGTACTAGAACTACTATCCATATGACCAAAACCATCTAAACTAGTTTTTTGGGTGGTTAGGAAATGAGTCAGCTGATGTGATGTGTGAGGATGTCTTCTGGCCTGCCTGCGCTTTGGTGCTGCTCACCCAGGCTGTAGTAGGGAGTGGTGGCATCACGTCTGGCTGAGACCCTTCTGGCGTCTTTATCTCTCCCAAACACTTGCCGTCCCAACATGCATTGCGGCATCGTGGCGTAATGGAAAAAGTGTTCCCCTCTATGGGTTTCCCCTATGACTCTCAAGTGGTGCTGTTGGCACGCAATGTGCTAGAATTGTGGCCTTTATCTATCTTGGATTTCATCTAAATAACTGTGTGTTGTAGAGTAGTAATAACTATCACACATAACTGACCAGTACATAACCCTGCAACGGAGCATTTCTGCTGAAGAAGGCCAACACCACTTTCAAAGACAATCCTGTCAGGAATACTTTATATGGGGAAACTTTCTGTATGTGGAGGCTGAGCCAAGAACTGTAGTTGTCTCTTCAGCCACCAGATGGAAGCCCACACTCAGGGGTGATTCTACTGCCACAGAAACAGGAGGATGAACACGAACAGATACTTAAAAAAAAGAAAGGAAAGCTGTGGTGCACAATGCCTATAAAGTGGAACAAGCTGTTTCATAATAGATGGAGCAATGCCTTGACACAGGCCCGTGTCTTTGACTGCTGAATCTGAGAGCGTGCATCATCACCAAGGTTTTTAGAAACCCTATGATCTCAGTGATGCAGACAGGGCAGGCGTTCTCATTGGCGTAGCTATTTTCACAGTCATCTCACTCGTCAGTATTAAATGTTTAGCTCTGTAAGGAAACCTCGGGTGCGTTCAGTGGGTGTGAAACGGGAGAAAACGTACTGAAACAGAACAATTTATTTTCCTTTTCCCCTTCAAAACGTTTTCTCTCATTGGTTCCTACTGAACATGATGACCCTGATGTTGTGCAACTAGACTAGCACGTCTCCCTGGAGCATCCAAACTGGGCATGAGCGGGGAGGGGCAACACGGCTACTGCTCCTACAGTATGCTATCTACTCTGAGAATACTGCAGAAACATGGAAAATTCCTGCTTCATAAATACTTGAGACCATAATGGTGCACTATGAATATTAATGCGTGGTTAGCCTACGATCTATCCATGCCCTTAGTGCTTTCTAGAGCTTAGATCTCCAACCACAAACTAGGATCCCCTAAACCATGCTACAGACAGTACTATATTTGCCGACTGGCATTATTTTATTAATACCAGATGTTCACAGCTGCAAATATTGTTGTACGTATTATACATATATTGTGTGATGCAGAACAAGGTGTTAGATGTCTCTACCCATGATGCAGTAGCTAACAGAACAGAGGAAGGAAGGCAGGAAGAAAGCAACGGGAGAGGGGGGAGAGGGGAGAGAGAGAGAGAGAGAGAGAGAGAGAGAGAGAGAGAGAGAGAGAGAGAGAGAGAGAGATGGAGCCAGAGAGAGGATGAAGATGAGAGAGAAATAAACACACTCCATGTGTCCAACTAAAGTGCTGTGTGTGTGGGAGAGTGTGTTGCTGACTTTCTTAGAGTGAGAGGTTTTGTGTCTTGTCTGTCTGTGTGGATACAGTCTGTCAGAGTCTCTGGGGAGGGTGCATCTGTGAGTGGTGCCTCCCCTCTCCCCCTCTCCTCATCTCTCTGGGGTCCAGCCCAGCACCTGCTCCCTGCATTAGGGAGAGAGGAGGGGAGGGGTTTCTAGGCAACTGGAGGGCGGAGGGAGGGGTGTGTGTAGTAAAACACACCTATCTGTCTGTCTACATTCCTTCTGCCCTTGTCTACGTGGGTCTTCTGTCATGTTGTGACCATGTACAGTAGTTATTTTGGATTATAATGTTACAGATAGTACGACATCAGAGTCAAAAAGAACAATATTCTTGTATACTGTAACCGTATATAAATCAGAGGATTGCCAATGCAATTTCAACATTCCCCCTTGTTTTTCGAGCTCTACTCTTGAGGTCAGTAACGATGTTATAATGATAGATACATCAATATTTCTAAAGATTTGCCTCGTATTTGGTAAATCTCAATACTGTAAAAACAGGAACAGACCTGTAGTATTTCCAGATGCCATGGCCCAGTTTGACACTCGTCTGTGATCTCATGCCACATGAAGTTGGTCTGGAGAGACAAAGGTGACAGTGACTAACCCTGTACACTAACCCTGTACCCCAACCCTGTACCCTAACCCTGTACCCTGTACTCTTTCCCTCTCTGGGTTATTTGGAGAATAATGAACCCCACTACCCCCTCCCACTCCCCTTGCCCCCCCAGCCCCGGCCTCCCCCTGCCTCCCCAACCCCCGGCCTCTCCATGAGCCGTATGGCACTAATGGGGTCAGGCAGATGGGTGGGGACCATGTCATCCCCAATAAAGAGAGCCTGTGTGTGTGTAGCAGGGGGCACTATATAAAATGAGCAGTGCTGGCCCATTACACTTTCAAATGGGGAGCCCCTTCTGAGGATTGGTTGGAGGCACATCCTACATGTCTCTATCTCACACAGCATGGTAGCCTACAGCAGAGGCAGTTCTAGGGGGCGACTCCCTCACACTCTGCCCTACGAAAGCGAAGTGCTGGGGCGCTGCCTGAAAAGGGCTTGGATGGAGGGTTGTGTAGTGTAGACCAGTTCTCCTGATGCTTCTCTATCCGCCTCCTTCCTGTGCTTAATGACACAGCATTAAGCTAGGACGGCTCATTCATTGGCCAGCCCTGCCTGGTGGGTGGATGATGGATACATGTGCTGCTGTGGATGAATTTGGTAGTGTAATTGATTGACAAAAATTAAAATGAGGTGTTAGGTGATTAATTGAGAAGTGAGGGACTGGGAGGACAGGGAGGAAACTGCTGATGAATTACTGCTATAGGCCTGTAGGCTATTCATTATATGGTGTTACAATTAATAGTTGTACATGAATGGTAAATAACTGTATGAGTGATGGAGACCAGCTCTCGAATTTGCATTATTTTTTTTATTTTTTTTTGGCGATACTATGAAAAATATTTTTTTTATGTTTAGGCTCTAAGGCTATATTTCAATCGTCTATAGTTCTAAAGTTTAGTTGTTACGTGCACAGGATACAGCAGGTGTAAAACAGTAAATGCTTAATTGCGAGCTCTTTCCCAACAATGCAGTAATAAAATAGATAAGAAAAACCCGAGAAATAGAATAGCTGTGTAGGCTTATTGTTTCAGCGCTTCACCCTGTAATAGGTGTTGGACCAAGCTCTCGGGATCATTTCACAGAATTTGGTGATTAATTATGAAGCGGACAATTCAAACATCGCTTATCAAAATGGACCATAGGGTTCTTATCACAGGTTCAACATCTCCCCCACTTCCCATTGGTTAATCTAGAATTTAGCCGTGTTCAATTGGTGCATAGGGTTAACAAAATCCTATACTTCAGTATGGTGACTCCACCCCTTTACTAGCGCGGATACACATCTACAACACAACAAAGCATGCGTCCGGCTTCTGCAACATTGTAACTTCACTGGATGTACGGAATATACGGTTGCGTTGGATTGAACTAGTTATAGTTCTTCATTGATGGTATTTCTATTTTAGGTAAGCGCACGTTTGAATGTATTTCTGGCGGCTGATGGGATTTAGAGTTGGTGTTTATTTGTTTTCTACATTCGGCGCCATTTTCATACTAAGATGATTTAAATGCCTACGCTATATGTATCGCGGTGTAGCTGACGCGCACAGTGGTAAAAATCAAACCTTAATAAATCAATGATTTGGAAAAGTTGAAGGAGATCTGTGTTTGGACTACCTCCAAATTCCAATCTCTTCAGTGAAAAACAAGTGCATGAAGTGAATGAATGACCATGATGATTAGAATGGGCACGCCAGGGTATTTAATTTGCCTGAACGCTTCACTGCTCGAGGATATTTTATCCGAATCGTGTGGCATTTGTTTGTGGCCCAATGAATGTGAAATAAATAATTCGACCTAATTCAGCATTTTTCTTACAATAATTGAATACAATTTCCCAACATTTTAGATGGCTATTTGTAGTGCAGTGTTTTTGATTAAAATCAGGACAATGAGGACATTATTAATTTATTCGATTATTACAATATTACAAACACTTCTGGGTCCTTTTTTCTTTTAGTTTTCTTTAGCAAGATGGAGTGATCTACGACTGTATGTTAACTGTGTTCAATAGTAATTCATCCCATTGGCCATCACTAGCCTACTATCAATCTCTTGATGAGAAGTTAAATGGCTTTTGTGTGTGCAGATATTCAACACAAAAACATGGGCAGGAATACATATATAAACCCACAAGCAGTCCTTGCCATGCTGATAATCATGCCACCTTACCATTGCACTTGACATAACTTTGTACAAACATCTCAGACTAAAGACTTTGAAACTTTCCTCCATTTTCCCTGTAGTTGTAAAAGAGTGTGCCTGGCCTTGTTGCTAAAATTACAAGAAAAGACTAGTAGGCTTATTCTGTGTCTAGGAAAATGTCCCATATCCTTAGTGTCTTTTGTTTTAACACAGTAGCCAATGGACCACCATCCATCTTGTTCTTCTATGTGTGCTCTGCCAGCAATCGTCTTTAAGAACACAATTATTTCTAAGAAGACCTCCGCTCTGCTCTGTTATCCTTCATGATGTCAGTTATTTGAGCTGCTTTTGGTTTGACATGATTCACTCTTTTGCGTGTTACGTATAAATCCATCTCTGCAGGAGCCAGGAGGCTAGCCTGAGTACAGTAGTGTGTCTGCTGCTGCTGCTGCCTGTAACACACTTAAGGGGGACTCATCCAGTAAGCCCCTCCTCCATTGATACTGCTGGGATATATATAGCAAGATGATCTGTTATGAAGGGATGAAAACATAATGTGGGAGGGGCAAGAGAGCACTGAGAGAGACCTGAAAAAGAGAGAGAGAGAGAGAGAGAGAGAGAGAGAGTGTGTATTAGTGAGCGTGGGCTGGTGAAGGAGAAAGAGTGATGTTGCATTAGTTTAGTGTTGTTGTTTGCCAAGTAGGGTTGGGCGGTATCCAGATTTTCATATCGTCATACCGTCCTTCTCTCATCCCAGGATTTAGGGTATTACCGGCTTAGTACACAAGGGGGTGCCAGAAAAAGCCAATTGGGCGTCCATTACCAGAATGCTAACAAAATTAGCACAAGTAATAGAGAATTTCCATGGAGGCTGCTAGCGAAATATGCTAACGAGCGCAAATGAAAATAAATAAATTGCAAAGGCAGGCAATCCAGCTCATAAAGTTATACATATATAGGTAGGCGCTACCGAATGTCATTTTTGGTGAGTTTGGACATTTACAAGATAATAATAATAATAATAATAATAATAATAATAATAATAATAATATGCCATTTAGCAGACGCTTTTATCCAAAGCGACTTACAGTCATGCGTGCATACATTTTTGTGTATGGGTGGTCCCGGGGATCGAACCCACTACCTTGGCGTTACAAGCGCCGTGCTCTACCAGCTGAGCTACAGAGAACCACGATAATGTGAACGAGAAACATTGTGCAAATGAACACAGTTTTGATGCATGCTTGTCTGTAGGAAGAACAGTACTGGCTCTGGAGCAGCATGTGTAGGCTACACGCTCTGTCTGTGTGGAGTCTGGAGTCACTAGGGCAACGGGCCTGCCTGCTCTGCTCAGAGAAGAGGGGAGAGGAGCAGACTTGGCCAAGAACGGAAAAGGAGAAAAACGCAAGGAAATCAAAAGATAGCAGTGGCAGCTGTACAGAACTCATCCAAACGGCTTGGAAACGAACACAATATGATGCCCCTGTGACATTATTAATTCAGCCACTTACTTAGATAATTAGCAAGTTAAATTTACGGGTCGCGTTAACGCAGAATTCTTCGTTTTCACACAGGAAAAATAGATGAAACGCATAAGAAATAACTTTCAGTTTTGTAAACGCATATCTAAAATGCTTCTAATTGTAATTTCTACTCGGCATCAGACTAATGTTGTGCTTCAGTTGCACTTCTCCACTCGGATGAGAATTCACCAACGGGCATTCTATAAGCAGACAGCGCTCTGACTGATGTCTAGCTACGTTTCTCAGGTACTTTTTTCGGTGTAGCCAGCCTACTTTTCTCTGGTAAAATGCAAGATGAACTTTAAGTAAAACATTAGGAAATGTAGCTGGCTACATTCTATGACAAACATTAGAAATATGATGGCCATGCATTGTTTTTGCAAAAAAAGACCTTGCTTTTTCATTGTAAGCTCATTTACTTGTGTGGCTGCCAGCCAAATAGCATTGCACTTCTGTTGTCATCTGATGAAAATGATGCTATTTTCTGCCGAATGTGTTGCACTAATGTATTTTCTGTGAAGGGAAACTATAGTTGCACATCCCTGATCACTCTAGTGAAGCAAAATAACACTTAACTTTCAATATAAAACACGACCCCTGTCAATACACAGCTGGACTCACCTGCTCCCGCTTTCCCCCATTGTACTATTTACAAACAAACACGTGACTGGCTCAACTGTTCTGGGGAACTACGTTAACCTTCATAATGTGACAGGTGAAATGAAGAACGCAATCTTTGTTTGTCTCCTAACGTATTGCACAAGTGGACTGCAGGTATTTACTTAAAAAGTAGCTGCAAATATTAAAAGTTCAAATAAATAGTTTTGACGGTATTGTAAAACCATCCCATGGCTATTTTCAAATACCCCGGTATCCGGTGTATACAGTATAATGCCAAAGCCTAGTGCCAAGGGCCAATACTCTGCATACAGTACAAGATAAGAAGTCAATTGCTCTTTTTTTAAGAGTGAGTTTTTTAAATTCTCTGATAAGATCCAGAGTTTAAAATGTTATGTCTTTATTCCAAATGTGAGTGGACTGTGGACTTGTATATTGTATATCCACAGCATGTCTAGATACTGTAGTTACAGGCACGATCATTGACAAACATGTCATCGATATTATCCATTGACAATTACAGTATGTAAAAATAAATAAATAAAATGTTGTATTGTCACATACACCCGGAAAGGTGCAGTGAAATGTGTTGTTTTACAGGGTCAGCCATAGTAGTACGGCGCCTCTGGAGCAAATTAGGGTTAAGTGCCTTGCTCAAGGGCACATCGACAGATTTTTCACCTTGTCCGCTCAGGTATTCAAACCAGCGACCTTTTGCATACTGGCTCAACACTTTAACCGCCTGCTATGGGCAGCAGGTAGCTTAGTGGTTAAGAGCGTTGTGCCAGTAACCGAAAGGTCGCTGGTTCTAATCCCCGAGCCGACTAGGTGAAAAATCTGTCGATGTGCCCTTGAGCAAGGCGCTTAACCCTAATTGCTCCTGTAAGTCGCTCGGGATAAGAGCGTCTGCTAAATGACTAAAATTTAAAATGTAAATGTCTACCTGCCGCCCTATTGACAGACATGTCATCGATACTATTCATTTACAAATATGGATTATCTCCAGTACCACAAGACACACAGATATGAACACTTCTGCAGTAATGTACCACTAATGTACAGATATCACCTTCAATCAATTGGCTTTGGCAGAAGTCCGATTTAAACTGGATTGAACCTAATTGTAGGCTTGGCCTGCTCCTTCAGCCCAACCACAGTCGATCAATGGGATGACTCCATTCAGCCTGGTCCCCAAGTGGTTCAGGTTACAGCATCAGAACCATCTGTGGGGTATTGATTAGGTTGAAACGGAGAGCTGAAGATAAGCTTACACACTAGAAGACTAAAATACCTACGTGGGCAATACCCATTATAGCTTAGAGTTTAATTCAGTTTAAGAACTAGCCAGTGTAAAGCCCTTTGCACTGCTTTTTTTTTTTTTAATCAATGGGTTAGTGTTAGGGGTTTGTATATCAACGTTGCTGAGAGCATTGTGAATGTTCTTTTGAAACAATTTGCATATTCCATTTGGGTGTGTGTGTCTATGTGAATGACTGTAGCCATGAATCGGTGAGTATCTGTGAGAGGATGCATGTTTGTTTGTAAATGTGTTTGTGCGTGGGCATGTGTGAGCCTGCCTGTATATCGCTGTGCAAGCGTGTGTGTGTGTGTGTTTACTGATATCTTTGCCATTCATTTCCTTTAATTTTGACTTTGGGCCAGGTGGGAGGGGTTAATAGGTGGGAGGGGCTTAACACAAACCATGATTCAGCACAGCAGATCACCACGTCCTGCCAGATCTCCTCTGAGAGAGAGCGAGAGCGAGAACTAGAGCGAGCGAGAGAAAGAAGGAGGGAGATGGGAGATAGGAGAGGAGAGGAAGAGAGATAATCTCACTTGGAGCCTGATTAACACTAAACTCCAGGCTAAATCCCACTCACTAAGCTCACTCTCAGCACCTACAAAGCATGTTTCTGTTTCTCAGTTCCCCTATAGGGCAAATATGATCCAATGTGCTTAAGGGCCAGTGTTGGTGCTGGGGGATGTGGTTTGGATGGTGATGGCTGCTACTCAGATTCACACCAACTATGAATGAATGAAGAAATGTCCTCAGCCTGATACCACAGATCGATTACACTGCTTAGTGTTGTGTGTGTGTGTAGGTCTGAGTGAGAGTGAAAGTGTGTGTGTGTGTGCGCACTGCAGTCGGTGACATGAGATATCCTAATGAGTCTACATCGTCCTGAGAACCTGCAGCATTATACCCCTTCTCCACAAGCTCTGCTCCACACACACACACACCCACACAGATAGTTGCACACACCCATGTTGACTCCAATGCTTCCCACAGTTGTGTCAAGTTGGCTGGATGTCCTTTGGGTGGTGGACCATTCTTGATACACACGGGAAACTGTTGAGCGTGAAAAACCCAGCAGCGTTGCAGTTCTTTACACAAACCGGTGCGCCTAACACCTACTACCATACCCCGTTCAAAGGCACTTAAATTTTTTGTCTTGCCAATTCACCCTCTGAATGGCACACACACCCAATCCATGTCTTAATTGTCTCAAGGCTTAAAAATCTTTCTTTAACCTGTCTCCTCCCCTTCATCTACACTGATTTGAAGTGGATCTAACAAGTGACATCAATAAGGGATCATAGCATTCACCTGGATTCCCCTGGTCAGTCTATGTCATGGAAATAGCAGGTGTTCATAATGTTTTGTACACTGTGTATATATGGCTCTGATAGTAACAACATGGCTACAACGTAACATAACACAGCTAGCATAGCACAGCTGTCCTATAGCATCTTATCCACCCCCCTTTCCTGTCCTATAGCATCTTATCCACCCCCCTTTCCTGTCCTATAGCATCTTATCCACCCCCCTTTCCTGTCCTATAGCATCTTATCCACCCCCCTTTCCTGTCCTATAGCATCTTATCCACCCCCCTTTCCTGTCTTATAGCATCTTATCCACCCCCCTTTCCTGTCCTATAGCATCTTATCCACCCCCCTTTCCTGTCCTATAGCATCTTATCCACCCCCCCTTTCCTGTCCTGTCCTATAGCATCTTATCCACCCCCCCTTTCCTGTCCTGTCCTATAGCATCTTATCCACCCCCCCCCTTTCCTTTCCTGTCCTATAGCATCTTATCCACCCCCCTATCCTGTCCTATAGCATCTTATCCACCCCCCTTTCTTGTCCTATAGCATCTTATCCACCCCCCTTCCCTTTCCTGTCCTATAGCATCTTATACAACCGCCCCCCCCCCTCCCTTTCTTTAGTCATAAGTGCATCCCAAATGGCACCCTATTCCCTACAAACTGCACTACTTGTGACCAGGGCCCACAGTCCCGTAGGGGACTATAAAGGAATAGGGTGCCATTTGGAACGCAGCCTCTGAGATGGTCGGAGCATCTGACGTGCACCTGACCCAACAGCTGAACACATTGCTCACCCATATCTGCAGGGCGATCTTTATCTCTGGCAGCTAGTTAGCCTAATGATGGTTGATTTATACAGTAGTAATGATGGTTGATTTATACAGTAGTAATGATGGTGGTGATGACAGCTGGCCTACTGGAGGTAGAAAATGATAGAAATGTAAGACATTATAGGGCCTCTATGCACTATGGAAAAGGGATTTCACAGTCTAAACAGTGTTGACTGACGGTGTTTGACAATTAATACAGTAGTAATCATGGTTGAGTTATACAGTAGTAATCATGGTTGAGTTATACAGTAGTAATCATGGTTGATGGATGGGACAGTTGGTATGCGTCCCAAATGGCACCCTATTCCCATAGGGTTCTGGTCAAAGGTAATGCCCTATATAGGGAATAAGGTGCCATTCAGGACACACATTTGACCTATTGGATTCTATAGGCTAAATTTAAATTATAGAACTATAGTAGGGCTGACCTCATTTAGTCGACTTGTCGATTGTTTGATGGATATACTGTTGGTCGCCCGAGATTTCTCTAGTCCAGCAGTAGCAAAACAAATCTATAATTCAGGTTGTTAAAGACACCTGTCTGATTCACGCCTGTCTGAGTGGACTAATCCATTGTGGAGGCCGTGGGGAAGGCACAGTCCATCACTCTAAGACATGCTACTGAAATTGTATATGGTTAAGGACAATGGTGCAACACTAATAAAAATAATATTATCTTATTACAGATGCGCTTTCTCTGTCGCTGTCCCCAGTTCTGAAACACCAGTGCGCTGTTGAATTGCCGCCTTTTCCTAGACCATTTTGCTAAGTGCATAATAGCTAAGTTAACCAGCATATTTGTGTTGAGAACAATGCGGCGGAGGCAGCAGCGGAGTTAGGAGATGAGAAAACAGCCCTTGCCTTAATTGTCCAAGAAAAGTGAGGAGAGCGGAAACCCCAACTTAATTAGGTCTATAATCTATAGCCTAACTGTTAAATGTGCCTGGCTTTATAAGTCATCCATATATATTTACAGAAATAAGACAGATCCTGCTTCTGTTGCCTGTTTGAGTGTTTGTTTAATAGCCTACTGATTCCTTGAGCAACAAGCCTCACGCAACCACAACATGTCGGATAAACAATACTTATAATAATAAGTAATATCATTATCATTAGTAGGCTTAGTATAGCAGCCTGGTAAAACCAACATCCAGCTGTTGGCCTAAGAGCACATCCTGTTTAGTCTTAATACCGTAACTTAGGCCTATATTTCAATATCTTATATAGGCTACTGTATCAATCAATCATTCATTCGTTCATGCCGTCACACAGCACACGAGTCATTCATGATTTGAAATGCAATCAAGCATTTTAGTTTAAAAAATAAAATGACAAAGCAACCCTTTAATAATTAGCGTAAACAATAACTAACTAAATCGTTGCATTTCTGCAATTCCATTCATGAATGCATGCAACTTTTTTTGTCTTTGCTGTAATAAAGGCTTTACAAAAATAAAGACTTACAACAGACTCTCTGGTATGCTTATAATGCATTTAGTGTTGTTTACATTGTTCCAACCGGTCAGAAAAATTATATTGTAATCTATACAGCACCTGTTTGGCACACATAATATGCACGCAGCGCTTGCTCCTAACCTTCTTTTTCTTGATCTCCAGTATTTTACACAACCAGTCAAATGTATTCCACACATCCGACTTCCCCTTTACCTCCTGAGCAACCAGTAAACATTCCCCCGTTTCGAGTTTATTTGTCACGTCGTCTGCATCCATTTTGCTGCCACATGTGTTACGGCGTTCAGAGTTTGTTATAACCAATTTATTGATGTGATTATGAAATGCAATAGGTCAGGCCTATTGATCACGTGCATGCGATGCATACGTGTCAAATAAAGAGAGCAAGGGTTGAGGGAATAGGGAATGTTTTTCCTAAACAAATGAGGGATTTCTGTAACAGAACTTCCGCAACATGGACAGCGCGATTCTGTGATGGTCGCTGCAGCAGGGAGGAGAGCAAGACAATGGGTGCTAGTCACACAGTCACTCACTGTAAAAATAAATGTACACAGCGCAGCAAGTCTGAGCCGGCCCGGCACAATCAAATCAATTGCGTTGGGACTCCCTCTAGTCATTTGTGTGTCTTAATTATTTCATCAAACAGTTCGCTTAAAGCATCAGACAAACTCAATGCATATAGTTGATTTGATTAAAACACTTAGGATTTGTCTATATATGGAAAAATACAAGTTTTAAAATGTCTACCAATCGATTGGTCGAAAGAACAGATGACTCTCGGTCGACCAATTTCTTTTGGGTCGGGGACCTACAGTATAAGAATAAATTATAGGCCAACAGGGAGGGAACCTTGAGTGTGTAAAAATAGCAACAATTTGATGAAGTGTGGCTGAACTGCCATGCTGAGTCTGACTCTAACCAGCTTTGACTGTGTTTGACAATTTCAGTCCACTATCCTTGTATCTCGCCTAAACATAGGATGCCTCCCAAATGCCACCCTATTTCCTATATATTGCTCTACTTTTGACCAGGGCCCTGGTCCAAAGTAGTGCACTACATAGGGAATAGGGTGCCATTTGGGACAGAGACACAGTGTGGTTGTGAGAGTCCCTGTTACTTCTCAGGGTGTCTTTTAACAGTCACAACCACCAGGTTAGCAGCTGGACCAGAGCTGCTCAGCTGGCCTTTAGCATAGAATCTAGATGTTACCTAGTGAAGACAATGCAGGAGGCAGGCGGGAGGCAGCAGCAGACACAAGCCGTCTCATCTGGTCCATTAACACCATGTCTGTTTCCTGACTATCACCATTGAGATGACGCTACATTAAAAGACCCAGAGGAGATCCTGAGCACTGAGGCGTACACCACGCTGTGTGTGTGTTGACCTAGGGAACAGGCCTATGGGGGGTTGGGGGAAGGGAAGGGAAGAGCTGGATTAGTTAGAGTGCACCACAGTTATTGGTCACTGGACTCAAACAATGGGAGGACTAAAGAGGATTTGGTCTCTGTGGTGCCCCCTCCTCCCCTCCTCTCCTCCATACCCCTGCTGTCCCTATAGCTCTGTGTGTCACGCACCCCCTGGGGTAAGGACAGCCGTGTGTGTGCAGCTGGAAGATCTGCCACCATGTCTAGCTAAGCGTCTCCCCACCCCGCCCCCCCACTGTATGGTAGACCTAGACATATGATGAACTATTAGCCTACATGTTGGACAATGACAACAACTACCAGCATCAGACTAGCCTAGATGCTAACAGTGGGCTAAGTAGATGCAATCTCTCTTAACACTGTATGGAGGGCTATTAGACATATGCACAATGAACTGCTATGATCTAACACAAGTACGCTGATGCTGCTGCCAGTCTTTCAAGGACAGCCTCACAACTGCAGCCAAGCTCACGTAGTGAAGTGAAGTGAAGTGAACACAATAACTGTCCATTTACTTCTCAGAAGCCCGGTATGTCCTGCGAATTTCTAAACCAATTTAGTAGTGATGCATTGTCATGCAATGTTCCATTGGGACATCTTGGCCCAGCGTGTGAAGCCGGCAGGGCCACAGCGGTTGGATGAAAGAGCCGTGTTGGGTTTAGTGCTGAGGATGATACTGACTGGCGCTGTATTAATGGACCTCCAGGCTGCTACAGAGCAGAAACACTCCATTGTGTGTGTTGTTAATGAGCCTCTGGTAGACACACACTGTGGTGAGCTGCCTGTCTCTCAAGAGGTCCTCCCAGACACACACACACACACACTCATTCAACAAGAGGTGCCATTGTGCAGTGGAGTGGGATACACTCAGAACTCCATATGAAAAAGAGAGAGTGTGTGTTTTAGAGAGCATGTAGTCTGTGGGTGGAATATTTGATCAAGTACTCCAGTCTGAGAAAGCATAGTAGTAGCTCATGCTATAGAATGGCACCGCTGCATCACTGTTGACTGTCCGTAATCATGTCTTGCATGTGTGTATATTGCTGTGCATTATCCAACACGACAACACACATTACCTTTCTTTTTCCTGTCCCTGACCCCTCCATGTCATGTTCTCCTTGCAGTGTACCATGACGACAGAGGCTAGCGCGGTGGGCGAGGCGGACACAGAGGGCAAGCCGAAGCCCAGCGTAGCAGAGGCAGATGTAAAACCGGAGAACAAGCAGAGCCCAGAGCCAGAAGCAGCAGCAGCAGCGGAGCCAGAGCGGGAGAAGCCCAGCCAGAAGGCCCAGGAGCAGGCCTCAGAGCCTGGCCCCACAGAGAGCCCTACCTCCCCCACCACCACCACAGCTGAGGAGGAGCAGCTAGTGAAGCCCCGCCAGCGCACCTCAGCCGGCCGGGGCCTCTCACGCCTATTCTCCTCCTTCCTCAAGCGGCGCTCGCAGTGCACAGACGTAGAGTGGGCTGAGGTCGAGAAGGCAGAGAAGGAGACTAAGGAGAAAGAGAAGGCAGAGGCTGGAGCAAAGGAGGAAAGGTTAGAGCAGGCCAAGGGGGAGGAGAAGAAAAAAGCAGAGGAAAGGGGGGAGAAGAAAGAAGTGCTGAAAAAAGAGGAGGAAAAGGTTGAGAAGCAAGAGGAGGAAGAGGCAGCAAAGAAAGAGGCAGTGAAGAAAAGAGAGAGGAGGAAGAGGCAGCAAAGAAAGCAGAGAAGAAGAAAGCCAACGAGGAAGGAAGAGGCAGACAAAGGAAAGCAGAGAAAGGATAGGAGAGGAGGAAGAGGCAGCAAAGAAAGCAGAGAAGAAGAAGAGAGAGGAGGAAGAGGCAGCAAAGAAAGAGTCAGTGAAGAAGAAGAAAGAGGAGGAAGAGGCAGCAAAGAAAGAGTCAGTGAAGAAGAAGAAAGAGGAGGAAGAGGCAGCAAAAGAAAGCGAGAGAAGAAGAAGAGGAGGAAGAGGTAGAAGAAAGAGAGAAGAAGAAAGAAACAGAGGACGAGGCAGCCAAAGAAACGCGAAGAGAAAGAGGAGGAAGAGGCCAGCCAAGAAAGCGAAGAAGGAAAGAGGAGGCAGAGGGCAGCAAAAGAAAGCGAAGACGAAAGAAGCGAAGAAGAAAGAGGAGGAAGAGGCAGCAAAGAAAGCGAGAAGAAGAAAGAGGAGGAAGAGGCAGCAAAGAAAGCGAAGAAGAAAGAGGAGGAAGAGGCAGCAAAGAAAGCAGAGAAGAAGAAGAAAGAAGAGGAAGGGGTAACGAAGAAAGAGACAGAGCAGAAGAATCAAGAGGAGGAAGAGGCAGCAAAGAAAGCAGAGGAGGAAGAGAGAGGAGGAAGAGGCAGCAAAGAAAGAGGAGGAGGAGGAAGCGGCAGCAAAGAAAGAGGAGGAGGAGAAAGAGGCAGCAAAGAAAGCAGAGAAGAAGAAAAGAGGAGAAAGAGGCAGCAAAGAAAGCAGAGAAGAAGAAGGAAGAGGAGGAAGAGAAGAAGAAAGGGGGGGAAAAGACAACGAAAACAAACCAAAAGGGGAAGAAGAAAGAGAAGGAAAAGAAAGAGGAGGAGAAGGAGGAAGAAGAGGAGAAAGACAACGAAAAAAAAACAAAGGGGGAAGAAGAAAGAGAAGGAGAAGGGGAAGAAGGAGGAGGAGAATAAAGAGGTAAAGAAGAAAGAGGAGGGGAAGGGGAAGAAGAAACGGAAGGGCAAAAAGAAAGCAGTGGAGCCGTCCACAACAGAGGTGCAGGTGAAAGCCCCCATCGCTGCCCCGGAGCCAGAGCTCAGAGCGGAGGCAGAGGGGGAGGCTGAACAGGAGATGCAGGAGGAGCCTGTAGAGGCCCAGGACCATCACTCCATCAGCAGCGCAGAGACACAGGTGAGTGAGGGAGACAGACAGTGAACTTCTCACCTAGGGCATGGGTGCACAACTCTGTTCCTTGGGGAACGCTATCCTGCAGTTTTTTTGTTCTGATTTAGATTGTGGGAGAACAGCTTTTGCAGTGCGCAAAAAAAAAGAAAATACAGAATTATATCTATACTGAACAAAATATAAACGCAACATGTAAAGTGTTGATCCAATGTTTCATGAGCTGAAATAAAAGATCCCAGAAATGTTCCATATGCACAAAAAGCGTATTTTTCTCAAATGTTATGCACAAATTTGTTTACATCCCTGATAGTGAGCATTTCTCCTTTGCCAAGATAATTCATCCACCTGACAGGTGTGGTATAATCAAGAAGTTGATTAAAGAGCATGATCATTACAAAGGTGCACCTTGTGCTGGGGACATTAAAAGGCCACTCTAAAATGTGCAGTTTTGTCACACAACACAATGCCACAGATGTCTCAAATTTTGAGGGAGCGAGCAGTTGGCATGCTGACTGCAAGAATGTCCACCAAAGCTGTTGCCAAAGAATTGAATGTTCATTTCTCTACCATAAGCCGCCTCCAAAGTCATTTTAGAAAATTTGGCAGTACGTCCAACCGGCCTCACAACCGCAGCTACGTGTAACCACGCCAGCCCAGGACCTCCCCATCTGGCTTCTTCACTGTTGGGATCGTCTGAGACCAGCCACTCGGACAGCTGATGAAACTGAGGAGTATTTCTGTCTGTAATAAATCTCTTTTGTGGGGAAAAACTAATTCTGATTGGCTCGGCCTGGCTCCCAGTGGGTGGGCCTGGCTCCCAAGTGGATGGCCTGGCTCCCCAGTGGATGGGCCTATGCCCTCCCAGGCCCACCCATGTCTGCGTCCCTACCCAGTCATGTGAAATCCATAGATTATGGCCTAATGAATTTATTTCAATTGATTTCCTTTAATGAACTGTAACTGAAATTGTTGCATGTTGCGTTTTATATTTTTGTTCAGTATATTATTAAAAGTGTCAATGAGTTGCCTTCCCATTTTCTTTTACAATGCTGTTATTATTTTGCACATTGAGGGGCTGCTTTGCAGCAGACTGAAGATGTAGGCCAATGAGTCTCAGGTGAGAGACGGGAGTAAAAAATAAATGAAGTGAACATCAAGCACAGAAACTGAAGGAACATGTTACCCAGAGTCTGATCAACAACATAGCATTCAGAGAATAGCTACACTGAAGACACTCAGCGTAGCAGAAGAGAGAGAGAGGTACAGGACAAAACATCAACTCATTTGTAGCTTGAGTAGGGTGGGCTGTTAACTCAGCAGAACTGACTAGGCTGGTCTGTGCTGGTCTAGAGCCCCCTAGATCTAGCCTGTGTTAGGAAAAGTACTGTTTCAAGTAATGCTGTAATAACTTAAGTAACATTGCTGTTACATAGTAATCTAGTACTGCTAATCTAGTAGTGCTGAGCGATTAACTGACATTTCTGTTATTTTTCAGTTTTTAAACAACTAATTGACCGATGTTGGTTCAATTATTTGAATTCCATTTCATATCGATTTTTTTTAGCTTGATGCTCAGTTTGTGTAGAGATAAATCAGATCAAGCCCGAACTATGCGATGTAGTAGGGAGTTGAAGTTTCCAACAGGCCAATATTCTACATATTTTACTGCAGAAAATGTGGTAATTGACTACAATGAACATAATCCATTGCGCACCCACTTACTTGTCCGGTCTCGGTCTGTGTGGAGCAGAGAGGAGAGAGAACAAGTGAGGGGGATAGAAAGCAGTTGCTTTGCGAGGTACACTACTGTTCAAAAGTTTGGGGTCACTTAGAAATGTCCTTGTTTTGCAAAGAGAAAGTCCAGTGTCTGTGTTCTTTTGCCCATCTTAATCTTTTTTTTGTATTGGCCAGTCTGAGATATGGCTGTTTCTTTGAAACTCTGCCTAGGTCAGCATCCCAGAGTCGCCTCTTCACTGTTGACATTGAGACTGGTGTTTTGCGGGTAATATTTAAGGAAGCTGCCAGTTGAGGACCTGTGAGGCGTCTGTTTCTCAAACTAGACACTCTAATGTATTTGTCCTCTTGCTCAGTTGTGCACCGGGGCCTCCCACTCCTCTTTCTAGTCTGGTTAGAGCCAGTTTGCGCTGTTCTGTGAAGGGAGTAGTACACAGCGTTGTACGAGATCTTCAGTTTCTTGGCAATTTCTCACATGGAATAGCCTTCATTTCTCAGAACAAGAATAGACTGACGAGTTTCAGAAGAAAGTTATTTGTTTCTGGCCATTTTGAACCTGTAATCGAACCCACAATTGCTGATGCTCCAGATACTCAACTGGTCTCAAGAAGGCCAGTTGTATTGCTTCTTTAATCAGCACAACAGTTTTCAGCTGTGCTAACATAATTGCAAAAGGGTTTTCTAATGATCAATTAGCCTTTGAAAATGATAAACTTGGATTAGCAAACAGAACGTGCCATTGGAACACAGGACTGATGGTTGCTGATAATGGGCCTCTGTACGCCTATGTAGATATTCCATAAAAAATCTGTCGTTTCCAGCTACAATAGCCATTTACAACATTAACAATGTCTACACTGTATTTCTGATCAATTTGATGTTATTTTAATTGACAAAAAATGACATTTCTAAGTGACCCCAAACCTTTGAACGGTAGTGTATCTCTAACTGAAAATACATGATCTAAGTGATTGGTTGTTTATTTATTTTTATTTAGCATTTATTTAAACAGGGAGTCACATTGAGATAAAAAAATCTATTTTACAAGAGAGCCCTGTACATTAAAAACAGAATAATAAAACAACATACTATAAACAAAACGCAGATTTTCCCAAATCTGTGGAGACTAAAGGGATCTCTAGTGTTATCCATTCCTGAGAACGGGTTTGGTAACTTATGATTCTTAACTTCATTAATGAAGTTACATATGGAGGGAGTTTCTGTCAGATCGCTTTGTAAATAAATAAAAGAGAATGCATATCTCTTCTTACAGACAGAGATGTCCAGCCCACATGTTTATACAGACTACAATGATGAGTCCTAAAATTGTCCCCTGTGATAAAACGTATTGCGGAATGGTAGACTGCGTCCAAGGGTTTCAAAACAGAGGTTGCCGCATGCATGCATGTAGTTGGTATTCAACAGTCCTAAAAGTATGCCTTATTTACTTTGAAGAACTACTAAAATAGTGATTTTGTCAGACAGCATAGGCAGCAGCTCTATAGAGATGAGATGATTACTTGGAATGAAATAATAAAGTAATCAAATAAAAATTTTTTTTATTAAAGTAACTAATGTGAAGAAAGTATGGTTAATAAGTGATAAGAAGTAATGGGCAGTTGCTAACATCACAGGACTTTTATTAATTGTTGTATTCTGTGTTACAGCATTCAACCCACATAATGCATGGTGCATTTATTATCTAAAACAAATAAATAGAAACCGAAATCAAAAACTGAGATTATTCTTTTTTTAAATCAAACCGAAACCGAACCAACCTCAAAAAACACTAATCGCTCAGCACTATAATCAAGGACATGTGAGTTCAAGTGTAGTTGGAAGAGAGAAGAGCATGGCGGGATGAAAGTTGTTTGTTATAACACAAGTGGAAGAAGGACTGCCGTGCATGTTCCACGTGTTATAACAAAAATGTTCACAGTGCCAAGCTCTTCTCTCTAACAACTACACTGGAAGCCACTTGTCCTTATTTCCTGAGGATAATGACTGCTTTATATTCTGAGTCACTCTGTCTATTACATAAATGTAACTGTCTTTAATTAGAAATGAAACATCCTGACAACATGTCTGTCATATGACCTTTCTGTGACCCCCTAGCCAGCACAGGAGGAGCAGAAGGCGGACACTGAGGTAGAGAAGGAGGCGGTCGTAGAGGAGGTAGAGATGAAAGAAGAAACAGAGGAAGAGCTGGCCGAGCAGATGGAGGAGGTGGGAGAGGCGAACGGAGGGGAGGGGGAGAACACTAACGGAGAAGAGGAGAAGAAGGTGGCAGCAGAGGAGGCCAAACCCTCCAAGCGCCCTCGGATCATGCAGTGTAAAGTCACCCTCCTGGACGGCACTCTGTTTGAGTGTGAGCTCGATGTAAGACACTTCTCAAATACAACGTTGTCTTTTCAGCCTTGTTCTATTATTTTCTACTCTTCATATAATTGCCCATCAACTCTGTTTTTAACTTAATATTTTTTAATGCATAGTTGTCAGTACAGCCAGTTATATTTAATCCTTACTGAATGCTTATTTGTGATTGGTTGCGAGTACAACCAGTAATATTTCTTCCTTACTGAATGCTTATTTGTGATTGGTCCCCTCTCTGTCTCCCTGTGTCGTATAGAAACATGCGAAGGGCTCGGATCTGTTTGTGAAGGTGTGTGACCACCTCAACCTGCTGGAGAGAGACTACTGTGGCCTGGCCGTCTGGGATACCCCCACCTCCAGGGTACAGTACTGGTTTAAGAATGGGCTGCTAATCTATGGTGAAGTGGTGAACAGTCATCTTAACCTTCCAAGTGAAATGAGGGTAGATTGCATCTCATCTTTGGAGATTTCCTTTGGGAGAGAAAGATATGTTCAGTGAGTGGGTCGTTTTGAGTGGAGTTTGACTGCATGTTCTTGCCCATTAGAGAAACAGTAGCCTATAGGATGGAAGGTGCAGTTTCACCACATAGGGTAAAATTACTTTGTTACAGTACGATGACGTTCATTGAGTCTGTTCTCCCACTGTCATTTACAGACATGGCTGGATGCCTCCAAAGAGATCCGGAAACAGGTGGCAGGTGGGTGATGTCATCCTATATGATGATGTAAATAAACTTTTCTAACTCAAATTGCCAACAGTACTCACTCTGTATTTTCGTCTCCAGATTATACATACGAGTTCACTTTCAACGTGAAGTTCTACCCTCCTGATCGCAACGTGAAGTTCTACCCTCCTGATCCAGCTTCAGCTCACAGTGTCCTCCACCCCACTCTCTCTACCATCTCTCTCACCTCTTCTCCACACCCTCCTACTCTCTCGCTCTCTCCCTCCTTTCTCTCTCTCTCACTCCACTCGCCCCCCTCTCTCTCTCTCCCTCCCTCTCCCAGGTACTACCTGTGTCTACAGCTGCGTAAGGACATCCTGAGTGGCCTGCTGCCATGCTCCTTTGTGACTCTGGCCATGCTAGGCTCCTACACCGCCCAGTCTGAGCTGGGGGAGTATGACCCAGAGGTCCACAGCTCTAATTACACCAAGGAGCTGAGGCTGGCCCCGGGACAGGGCAAGGAGCTGGAGGACAAGGTCATGGAGTTGCACCGCACATATAGGTAAGAACCAGGGGAGGACCAGACTATATACTGGAGTAATGTAGAAAAGACCAGGGAGGACCAGACTATATGCTGGAGTAATGTAGAAAAGACCAGGGAGGACCAGACTATATACTGGAGTAATGTAGAAAAGACCAGGGAGGACCAGACTATATGCAGGAGTAATGTACAAAAGACCAGGGAGGACCAGACTATATACTGGAGTAATGTAGAAAAGACCAGGGAGGACCAGACGATATACTGGAGTAAAGTAGAAAAGACCAGGGAGGACCAGACTATATACTGGAGTAATGTAGAAAAGACCAGGGAGGACCAGACTATATACTGGAGTAATGTAGAAAAGACTAGGGAGGACCAGACTATATACTGGAGCTATGGTGACGAAAAGACCAGGAGGACCAGATATATACTGGAGTAATGTAGAAAAGACCAGGGAGGACCAGACTATATGCTGGAGTAATGTAGAAAAGACCAGGAGGACCAGACTATATACTGGAGTAATGTAGAAAAGACCAGGGAGGACCAGACTATATACTGGAGTAATGTAGAAAAGACCAGGGAGGACCAGACTATATACTGGAGTAAAGTAGAAAAGACCAGGGAGGACCAGACTATATACTGGAATAATGTAGAAAAGACCAGGGAGGACCAGACTATATACTGGATAGGTAACACGTCAACTATGACAGACAAAATGAGGAAAAAAAAATCCAGAAAATCAAATTGTAGGATTTTTTAATGATTTATTTGCAAATTATGGTGGAAAATAAGTATTTGGTCAAATAACAAAAGTTTCTCAATACTTTGTTATATACCCTTTGTTGGCAATGACACAGGTCAAATGTTTTCTGTAAGTCTTCACAGGTTTTCACACACTGTTACTGGTTTTTGGCCCATTCCTCCATGCAGATCTCCTCTAGAGCAGTGATGTTTTTGGGGCTGTCGCTGGGCAACACGGACTTTCAATCCCTCCAAAGATTTTCTATGGGGTTGAGATCTGGGACTGGGCTAGGCCACTCCAGGACCTGAAAGGCTTCTTACGAAGCCCACTCCTTCGTTGCCCGGGTGGTGTGTTTTGGGATCATTGTCATGCTGGAAAGAACCCAGCCAACGTTTCATCTTCAATGCCCTTGCTGATGGAAGGAGGTTTTCACTCAAAATCTCACGATACATGGCCCCATTCATTCTTTCCTTTACACGGATCAGTCGTCCTGGTCCCTTTGCAGAAAAAACAGCCCCAAAGCATGATGTTTCCACCCCCATGCTTCACAGTAGGTATGGTGTTCTTTGGATGCAACTCAGCATTTGCATTATTTGTCCTCCAAACACGACGAGTTGAGTTTTTACCAAAAAGTTCTATTTTGGTTTCATCTGACCATATGACATTCTCCCAATCCTCTTCTGGATCATCCAAATGCACTCTAGCAAACTTCAGACGGACCTGGACATGTACTGGCTTAAGCAGGTGGACACGTCTTGCACTGAAGGATTTGAGTCCCTGGCGGCGTAGTGTGTTACTGATGGTAGGCTTTGTTACTTTGGTCCCAGCTCTCTGCAGGTCATTCACTAGGTCCCCCCGTGTGGTTCTGGGATTTTTGCTCACCGTTCTTGTGATCATTTTGACCCCACGGGGTGAGATCTTGCGTGGAGCCCCAGATCGAGGGAGATTATCAGTGGTCTTGTATGTCTTCCATTTCCTAATAATTGCTCCCACAGTTGATTTCTTCAAACCAAGCTGCTTACCTATTGCAGATTCAGTCTTCCCAGCCTGGTGCAGGTCTACAATTTTGTTTCTGGTGTCCTTTGACAGCTCTTTGGTCTTGGCCATAGTGGAGTTTGGAGTGTGACTGTTTGAGGTTGTGGACAGGTGTCTTTTATACTGATAACAAGTTTAAACAGGTGCCATTAATACAGGTAACGAGTGGAGGACAGAGGAGGCCTCTTAAAGAAGAAGTTACAGGTCTGTGAGAGCCAGAAATCTTGCTTGTTTGTAGGTGACCAATACTTATTTTCCACCATAATTTGCAAATAAATTCATAAAAATCCTACAATGTGATTTTCTGGATTTTTTTCCCTCAATTGTCTGTCATAGTTGACGTGTACCTATGATGAAAATTACAGGCCTTTCTCATCTTTTTAAGTGGGAGAACTTGCACAATTGGTGGCTGACTAAATACTTTTTTTCCCCACTGTATCTGCCGTTAAAGCTATTTCAGGGTGTCAGTGGTTAACTCCCTCCCTCCTCTCTCTCCCTTCACCCTCCCCCTCTCTCTTCTCTCTCATCTTCTCGCTCTCTAGTCAACCCCTCGCCCACCCGCTCTCTCTCTCTCTCTCTCTATATTTCTTTCCCTTAAACCCCCACCCTTCTCTCTTCTTCCCTTCTCTCTCCACCTTCACCCTCCTCTCTCTCTGTCCCTCCACCCCCTCTCTCTCTCCCTCTCTCTCCCTCTCTCTCCACCCCTCCTCACTCTCTCGCTCTCTCTCCCTCCTTTTCTCTCTCTCTCACTCCACTCGCCCCCCTCTCTCTCTCCCAGGTACTACCTGTGTCTACAGCTGCGTAAGGACATCCTGAGTGGCCTGCTGCCATGCTCCTTTGTGACTCTGGCCATGCTAGGCTCCTACACCGCCCAGTCTGAGCTGGGGGAGTAGACCCAGAGGTCACAGCTCAATTACACAAGGAGCTGAGGTGGCCCGGGACAGCCAATGAGCTGGAGGCAAGGTCATGGAGTTCACCGCACAATAGGTAAGAACAGGGGAGGACCAGGACAAATCTGGAGTAATGTAGAAAAGACCAGGGAGGACCAGACTATATACTGGAGTAATGTAGAAAAGACCAGGGAGGACCAGACTATATACTGGAGTAATGTAGAAAAGACCAGGGAGGACCAGACTATATACTGGAGTAATGTAGAAAAGACCAGGAGGTAAGAAGACCAGAGGACCAACTATATACTGGAGTAATGTAGAAAAGACCAGGGAGGACCAGACATATACTGGAGTAATGTGAGAAAAGACCAGGAGGACCAGACTATATACTGGAGTAATGTAGAAAAGACCAGGGAGGACCAGACTATATACTGGAGTAATGTAGAAAAGACCAGGGAGGACCAGACTATATACTGGAGTAATGTAGAAAAGACCAGGGAGGACCAGACTATATACTGGATAATGTGAAAAAGACCAGGGAAGGACCAGACTATATATGGGAGTAATGTAGAAAAGACCAGGAAGACCAACTATAAAATAGGACTACTGGAGTAATGTAGAAAAGACCAGGAGGACAGACTATGGAGTAATGTAAAAAGACAGGAGACCAGACTATGGATTACCCAGTCATGGATATGTAGAAAGACCGGAGGCCGACATATATGAGAACTTATGATGAGAAAGACCAGGTTGAGGGGAGGACCAGACTATATACTGGAGTAATGTAGAAAAGACCGGGAGGACCAGACTATATGCTGGAGTAATGTAGAAAAGACCAGGAAACCAGACCATATACTGGAGTAATGTAGAAAAGACCAGGGAGGACCAGACTATATACTGGAGTAATGTAGAAAAGACCAGGGAGGACCAGACTATATACTGGAGTAATGTAGAAAAGACCAGGGAGGACCAGACTATATACTGGAGTAATATGAAGAAAATACCAGGAAGGACCAGATTATATACTGGAGTAATGTAGAAAAGACCAGGGAGGAGCAGACTATATACTGGAGTAATGTAGAAAAGACCAGGGAGGACCAGACTATATACTGGAGTAATGTGAAAAGACCAGGGAGGACCAGACTATATACTGGAGTAATATAGAAAAGACCAGGGAGGACCAGACTATATACTGGAGTAATGTAGAAAAGACCAGGGAGGACCAGACCATATACACACCATAAACATGGTATCATGTAGCTGATAAACTGCTATGGTGTGATAACTTCCACTTGTTCTCACGTAGTTGCTAACTTGCACCCTTACATGTTTACATTTGAGTCATTTAGGAGACGCTTTTATCCAGAGCGACTTACGTTTTTGTACTGGTCCCCTGTGGGAATTGAACACACAACCCTGGCGTTGCAAGCACCATGCTCTACCAACTGAGCTACACGGGACCTGTTTACATGTACCCATCTCTCTGTTTGTCTCCAGGTCCATGAGTCCAGCCCAGGCAGATATGTTGTTTCTGGAGAATGCCAAGAAGCTGTCTATGTATGGAGTGGATCTGCACCAAGCCAAGGTACACTTTACAATGTTCTGTAATAAACTGTCAATCTAGGACTTGAACAGTTCTATCTATAGAAGGAACTTTTTAATATATATTTTTTAAGAGCGGTCAGAAAAAGTAGTAAACTATCAAATCAAAGTGCATGATTTGGGAATAATAAGTTTACGCAACTCTAGCAAACCATAGATTTTTTATTTCAAAATTGCTGTCAAGCTGTCATCATCAAACAAGAGATTAATCTGTGCTGCTCAAAGTGTAGCAGAGGCTGCCTCCTAGTGGCATGCTGCTGCAAGTGCAGGAGTCACAATGATGGAAAGATGCCTATAGCGTCTATGATGAGGATATATAGAAAATATTGATAATCTTTACTGAATGTACTTTTTCTGCATGCTCACAGGATCTTGAGGGTGTGGACATCACGCTAGGGGTGTGTTCTGGTGGTCTCATGGTATACAAGGACAAGCTGAGGATCAATCGTTTCCCCTGGCCCAAAGTCCTCAAGATCTCCTACAAGCGAAGCAGCTTCTTCATCAAGATCCGTCCCTCTGAGCAAGAACAGTACGAGAGCACAATTGGCTTCAAGCTGCCCAACTACAAGGCCTCCAAGAGGCTGTGGAAGGCCTCAGTGGAACACCATACCTTCTTCAGGTGAGAAAGCCACTCACCCTCAGTGATGCTGTGGTGAACAAATAGGTGGTGGGTAAACCGTGATCTCCGTTCGCGGTGAGTAAAATCATTTCCCTATACTTTCAGTTGAAAAGATGAATGGAACTATATATTGAGACTGTTTAGGGCCAAAAATAAGGGGTTAAATACATGTGTATATATAAAAATAATAATAATAATACAAATCCTGATCTTTCAGAACAAACTTCCTTTTCATTTATTTTTTTTGGGGGGGGGACTATCTGTTGTTCCATGTAGTGAATCTGTTATTCAATGCGTTTGTATGGGATAATAGCAGAAAGGCCAAATACACATTTTCATCAAATAATTAATTAATAAAAAATATATATACTTCAAGGGGTCTTAAAATTCAAAATCAAATAGCAAAAATGATCCTTGGTATGACCTTCTTTAAAACAATTCCATATAGCTTAGTAGACCCCCCCATTCCCCCGGCTTAGACTGGGCTTAGACTGTAATGGGCTAATAATATTATCTTTAAGAACTAACAATCAGCTAAACAAAAACTAGACGGTCAGGGAGAATTGAAAAATCCAAAAACAATTCATTTAACAGTAGAGATTTTGTTATGTTTGAGCAAAAGAACACAGCATTAGCCATTGCAAAATGCATAGGATTGCAGGAAATTTGCTTTTAAATGGCAAAATATTCTCTCTGTTCCATTGCAGAATATGTAGTATCGTAGGAAATTTGCTTTAAAACTGCAACCTTTTTAGCTCCATGGCAAAATGTGTAGAATTGCAGGAAATTAGCTTTGTCTCTTAGTGCCATGGAGAAATTTGTAGAATTTGAAGGAAATTGGCTCACAAATACAAAAGTTTCTCTACACCGCCAACATGGGGGCCTCTAAAATGTTCAGCTGAGCCAACGTGCGTTTAACCCTCCACTACACCACTACACCCTGCTTCCAACTAACAAGTTACCCTTAACCACAGATCTAGGATCAGATTATCCTACAAACCCAATCCTGACCTTAACCATTAGGACGTTAAAACAATATCTGATCCCATATCAGTGGTTACGGGCTGGCAACTTCTACCTACTCTACTTCCTGGATCATCTGCCCCATAGAGGTACAATAAAATAGTTCTATTTAATTCTGTCATCTGCCCCCACTACTGCCCGGCAACAGGGGGCATTCTCAGGTTACCAATCCCTCATGCCTTCTAATTGGCTAATTGGCCCCTGCAGCATAACCTTTCTGAGAGTAACTCTATTAGCCATGATGGTAGTCTACCTCCAGCTACAGTGCCGTGACAAAGTATTTGCCCCCTTTCTGATTTTCTATATTTTTGATACTGAATGTTATCAGTCCTTCAACCAAAACCTAATATTAGATCAAGGGAAGCTGAAAAAGGAAAAAAGTATACTTATTTTATTTATTTCATTAACATACTTATGCAACACCCAATTCCCCTGTGTGAAAAAGTAATTGCCCCCTTACGCTCAATAACTGGTTGTGCCACCTTTAGCTGCAATGACTGCAACCAAATGCTTCCTGTAGTTGTTGATCAGTCTCTCACATCGCTGTGGAGGAATTTTGTCCACTCTTGCATGCAGAACTGCTTTAACTCAGTGACATTTGTGGTTGTAGTGTGATGGTTTGGGGATGCTTTGCTGCCTCTGGACCTGGACAACAAATGTCGCTGAGTTAAAGCAGTTCCGCATGGAAGAGTGGGACAAAATTCCTCCACAGCGACATGAGAGACTGATCAACAACTACAGGAAGCGTTTGGTTGGCATCATTGCAGCTAAAGGTGGCACAACCAGTTATTGAGTATAAGGGGGCAATTACTTTTTCACAAAGGGACATTGGGTGTTGCATAACTTTGTTTATGAAATAAATGAAATAAGCATGTAATTGTTGTGTTATTTGTTCACTCAGGTTCCCTTGATCTAATATTAGGTTTTGGTTGAAGATCTGATAACATTCAGTATCAAAAATATGCAAAAGTAGAGAATATTAGAAAGGGGGCAAGAACTTTTTCACAGCACTGTACGTGACAAGTCAGTCATACAGGAGAAGCTCTGGATTAAGATGGTTAAGGTAACATGTGATTGGTCTAAATCACCTGGCAGTGTGACATTGGACAGACATGACTAAGCTTTTATTAAAGCTGGAGTTTGGCTGGCCCAGTGATGTGATTTATTGATTTATCACATCACTGGGCAAGCTATTATCATGACCTATGAAACCAAATCATTATAACAAGCACATAGTAGCGTGTCTAGAAACTGTGAGTGACTGTGTGATTCTCCTCCCCCAGGGTGTCTTCCGTGGAGCCCCCGTCGTCCCGCTCCAGGTTCCTGGCACTGGGATCAAAGTTCAGGTACAGCGGCCGTACCCAGGCCCAGACCCGCCAGGCCAGTTCCATGATCGACCGGCCCGCCCCACGCTTCACACGGTCCGCCAGCAAGAGGCTGTCCCGCACCATCGACGAAGGTACGCGCGCGTTTGTGTGTGGTGCGTATGCGTTTATTACAGTATTTTTTGTGTGTGGGAATGTGTGTTCGTGCCAGTGCACACAACTTCAGGATCAGTCCCTCACTAACTTGTCTCACTCTTGTAGCTGGAGATGATGATCTCCAAGGCTCGCAGCTCTCTGCTAGCCCAAACAAGACCGAGGATGACGATAGGTTCCTCACTCTGGGGTCTGACCAACCCCAGCCCTTCTTTTCACCAGGTAGCCTATCAGGAACCGTGTGGATCATCATTGGAGTTTTGACTCAGCTTACAATGAGCAACCTCAGTTCGGCCTTGCTAGAGAACTACATGCTTTAGTTTTGAAAGAGCTTGATCTAACCCTGCGCTTCTGTCAGTCCTCTCGTCATCTCATTTGCTCCAACCCTTACGCTGATCTCAGGCCAGCTTGGGTCAACGTTGGTGACTCACCAAGGGCAGCTCAGAATGACCTGTCAATCAATCACAGCTACAGTTACATTGATGCTCCATTCACCTCTAACAGCTTATGACTGACTAACAGCAGCTTCAGAGATCTTGAGTCTTTTGCCCGTGTTGTGTTGCTTGTTAAAGAGAGCCTTCAGTTCTTTGGCCCCGTTGTGTTGCTTGTTAAAGAGAGCCTTCAGTTCTTTGGCCCCGTTGTGTTGCTTGTTAAAGAGAGCCTTCAGTTCTTTGGCCCCGTTGTGTTGCTTGTTAAAGAGAGCCTTCAGTTCTTTGGTTCATGTTGTGTTGCTTGCTAAAGAGATCCTTCAGTTCTTTGGTCTTTGTTGTGTTGCTTGTTAAAGACAGCCTTCAGTTCTTTGGTCCGTGCTTGATGATGGACATCATTGTGTCCAGGAGACTGCCGTTCCTGTTCTTGGAACTAAACGGCTAGCTCTGCAGATCTCAGAATTGCGTGGTAGTCTCATACTAACTTAATTTGCTATCTGCCTGCCAGATACATTGAATTCCATGTGCTTACTAAATCAGTGAGCGTTGCTCTGAAAGCCCCTGAAATGTTGGCCTTCAGCTACTGACCTGTGGAGGGGAGCTTTTCCTTACTCTCTCCTCCATTTTAACCTCACAATTAACTCATACAGTAACACCATCACCTCATGTTCTATCAACAGACAGAGGGGGGGAGACTTTCTCTGTGGAGACTTCCACTCAGAGCTGGGATGATGGCAAGTCCGTCCAGACAGTCACACAGACATGGCAGGAGACTGAGACAGGCCAGACGGTCAGTCGGACGGTCAGTCAGAAATGGCAGGGATGGGTGTCTGAGGAACAGCAGCAGGGGAGACAGGAGGAAGTTAAAGAGGAGGATTGGTTTGTCCTGCTGGGCAGACGACCTTCCCTTCCCTATGTCCCCTACCCCATGATGAAACCGCCAGGTATCTGTTGTTAACCTCATTCTGTACCTGGTGTAGTTGTGGTATAGCTGATGTCACTGTGCATCCTCGCTTTGACAATGAATCCTCCGTTGAGGTGTGGTTTAGAAGTTGAATGTGATGGAAGGTGAATCTGCTAAGCTTGCCACCGGCCATGATTACATCTTTCAAGATGTTTCTCTGTCATGTATTGGCTTATATTTAATGTTGCTGTCCTATCACTGGTGCTTGGCCCTCATTGGTGTAGAGCTGTGACACTGTGGTAAGTATGCTTCGCCGATGATGCTCTGTTTGCAGTGTGCTCACATGCTACGTTATCTTCCTATGTGTAAGGGATCCGCTCAGTTCTAAATGTTTCTGTGATGTCCTCAGTCAAATACTGCTCTGCCAAGGTGGTAAAGGTAGCCAAGGCCGACATTCTACAGAGGCTGCTACAACCAAGGCAGGAACAAAGGGATGACTGGTTCATGCAACTGGACCACAGCTTTGAGTTTGCAGACACACCCATGTGAGTTCTCATACTACATACATTCACTACCTGTTGTACATTAGCACAGAAATATAGAGTTTTGCAGAACAGACACGATTGTCTGTCTGGTAGAACAGGGAATCGTCATTTCTGTCTGCAACATTCTGAAGGTTTCACCTCACTGAATAGGCTACACTCCTGTTCTTCCCATACTGAGAACCCCAATCTGCCCCTCCTCAGTCTCTCCCCCAGTCTCCCTGGAGAAGAAGGAGACTAGGCAGGAGAGGAGGGAGGAGGTGATCAAGAGGCTCCAGGGAGGAGTGTTCCTGGTGGAGAAGCTGAGGGAGGTGGAGGTGTTGGAGGAGAGACTGAGGGAGGTGAAGGTTCTGGAAGAACGGCTGCAGGAGGTGGAAGAGCTGGAGGAGAGGATACAGGAGGAGGTGGAGGCCAGGCAGCAACAGGAGGAGGAGGAGGGAGGGGTAGAACAGGAGGAGGGGGAGGTAGAGGCAGCAGAAGAGAATGTGGAGGAAGTAGATGAGTTGGAGGAGCAGATAAAGGAGGTGTTTCTCAAAGGGTTGCTGCCAGATGAGTCAGGGGAAGATGAGGGACTAAAAGAGGAGAGTATGGAACAGGCAGAGGAATCGGAGGAAGGGTGGTCAAATGTCACGAGCACCTCCTCTGTGGTTCGGAGAGTAGGGCGGAGGACCCAGAATAGTGTGATTATAGTGAAAGAGATGAGGCAACAAGAAGGAGAGATGGCGGAGGAGACAGTGGAAACAGGTGGAGGTTTCAGACGAGGGATTGAAAGAGGATAAAGGAGGTTTAGAGGAGAGGAAACGACAAGGCTTTGGAGGAAGGGTTGCCAGAGGGGCTTGATGAAAGGAGAGGAGAGAGGAGGAAGAGGAAGAAGAAGGTGACTATAGTGACACAGGATGACAGTCTTCCAGATGAACTAGAGCAGAAAGCATCTGAGAAGTTGTCAGAGGACCAGATAGGGGGGCATTTTTATAAAGAGGGACAACTTATGGTGAAATTCAATGAACTATTCGCGGCAGAGAAGTTAGGGTTACCGATAGTTACGATTCAGCAGAAGATCGCATACGAGGAGTGGCTCCAAGAACAGGAGAAGGTCAGGGAGGAGAAACAGCAGGAGAGAGTGGAACAGGTGAAGGTTTCGGACAAGGGATTGAAAGAGGTGGAAGGAGGTTCTAGAGGATAGGACGCGGCAGATGTTGGAGGAAAGGTTGCCAAAGGGAGTTGAAGAAATGAGAGGAGAGCAGACTGTGAAGAAAACCAAGAAAACAGTGAGGAATAACAGAAGAAAGACACAGGATGATCGTCTTCAAGATGAGCTGAGAGCACACGAGAAGACATCAGAGGACCAGATTGGTGGTCATTTTTATAAAGAGGGGCAACTTATGGTGAAATTCTATGCACTATTTGGGGAGGAAGATCAGTTGCAGCAGAAGGACACACGAAAGGAGAGGCTCCAAGAACTGAAAGAGGTGGAAGGTTTAGAGGAGAGGATGCGACAGGTTTTGGAGGAAGGGTTGCCAGAGGGGCTTGAGGAAAGGAGAGTTGAGAAAAGCAAGAAAATGGTGAGGATAGTGGAAGAAATGACGAGAACACAAAAGACACTGGAGGAAAAGTCATCAGAGGACATTTTGTCAGAGGAAAAGCTGGGAGATGGTTTCTATACAGAGGGGGAAGTGTTGGTGAAATTCAGAGAGGTGGTGGAGAGGGTTCAACAGAGAATCAGACAAACTGAGAAGCCCCAAGAAGAAGACGAGGAGGTAGTGGAAGTGAATATGCAGCCATCCCAGCCAGAAGACAAGGATGATTGGGTTGTTCTGCTGGACAGCCTCCCACACCAGACCCTTTATAAGCCTCCAGGTACGTCCCATCAACCAATTTGGCTTTGCTTCTCCCCATCACCATGGAAACCGTCATGGAAACGCTTGCTTTACCACCACCCACACAATGGCCGACAATTCCATCTCTAACATTCCCTCCGCAAAACTAACCAGCTTGTGTGTTTTACAACAATTGCCATTTAAATAGAAAGAGAAACATTTGGTGCAGTATGGATTTGTGTGGCTGAGAGAACAGCTGTCTCTACTTTGTCAGTCATGCCAGTCGACTCAGCTCCGGTGCCTGTGGCCTCCACAAGATTCTCTGTGGTGTTAGTAGACACGGTCGAGCATAGAGCACCAGAGAGGGAATGCATTGAGGTGGAGGCCACACAGCAACAGCCTGAAAGGGGATTGGTGGAAGGACAGAGACCGTGGCAAATACAGGAAGATGATTGGTTTATGCTCTTGGACCTGGCTGATCGTGTTCCTTCAGGGATACCAACCACACCAGTTTCAGGTATGAAAAACTTGTGCCTCAATGATGAGTATTTTAGGGCTTGAAACAACTGTGCTTCAGTGACTGAATAGTCATCCAACTAGGATTTGCACTTCAATTATCTCAAGGTTCTTTATGTATTTTATGTATTAGCTTCTTTGGAAGTGCAAGTTCAGGTGTACGTAGAGGAAACCATCTCTTCCATGGTTAAAGTGATGACAGTAGAGCAGAGAGAGGAGACCACGGTGACTGTAGTGGAGGAGATGGAGTTACAGCAAGAGGAGAGACATCTGGAGCAGAAACCATCACAGTCACAGAGAGAGGTGGAAGATGACTGGTTTGTTCTGCTGGATGTTGTTCCCAGAGAACCATCTGTGATTCTGTCAGGTATTTCCGTAATTTCATGCACTGCTTCTCAGTCCCACCACAATATTAACAACATCTCCCCCGACCCTGTGCTTCATATGCTGCAAAATACTTTAAGATAAGAATAACTAACAAGACATTTGACTATCCACCAAGAGAATGGCTTCAGCTACATTGCTTTGTGTAGTACTTTCAATTATCTTCTGTATCTGAGGAATGTGTGTTTGTATCAGCTTCTGTGGAAGAGTGTATTCCGGTATATACTGAAAAAAGCGTCTCCAGCGTCCTCTGTGGTTGAAGTGACGACAGTAGAGCAGAGAGAGGAGAGAAGGGTGACTGTAGTGGAAGAGAAGCAAGAGGAGAGACGTCAAGAAGAATTTATACTTCCACCACAGCCATCAAGAGAGATAGACGATGACTGGTGTGTGCTACTGGATGTCATTCCCAGAGAAACATCCTATATACCACCAGGTACCCAATACAATTCAAGGCTTTGCTCGTCAGCCCCTGATCCCATCAAAATATACCTAACCCACCTCGCCAAACTTGCAGAGTAACCGTTACGCTTTTCCCATATGGAACTTTGGAATGTTTGTCCGGGAATATGGTCTTTGATGACATGGCTTTTTGTTAGCCCACACATCTAGCTGAATCTGAAGGGTATGTACTGTGTGTGTGTTTGTATCAGTCGCTCCAGCAGAGCCAACACTGGTTTCTCCAGATGTGGCCAGCCCTGTGGTTGAGGTAAAGGCTGAAGAGCAGAAGCCAGTGGTGGTTCTGGTGGAGGAGACGAGGCCACAACATAAACAGGAAGTAGAGGAGTGGCAGCGACAACCAGAGAGAGATGATGATTGGTTTACACTGTTTGATGATGTCCATGAGGAGCCGATCATTGTACCACCAGGTACCGTTCCTTCTTCATCGCCACAGTCTTTGTACATTTGCAGCTGTGTACATTTCCCAGCTTTGACTGAGAATAAACTATGGCTTTTGTAACTTTGGAGAACATGCTAAAGTCCCTAAACTAAAGGACTTTCCCCTGTCTGTATCAGTTGCTCTTCGTGAGCGTACTCCGGTATATCCAGATTTAAGCCAGACCACCTCCGTGGTAGAAGTGACAACCGTAGAAAAGAGAATCAAGAAGACAGTGACTATTGTTGGAGAGAGGTGGGGACAGCAAGAGGAGACACTCCAGTCAGAGATGATCATCTCAGAGCAGAGACCACCACCAGCAGCAGAGAGAGAGGAGGGAGATGACTGGTCTATTCTGTTGGATGCCGTCCGTGAAGAACCTGCTGGGGTTCCACCAGGTACCTTAGACATACAGTACTGCCAACAAGCAGACTAACCAAACCGACACTTTTGCTCTTGTGTGAATTAGGAATATGATTTTCAGTATATCCTGGTCAGTTATCAACGGGACCATCTAATAGTAATAGTGGTAATAATATCAAGCTCTCTGTGTACCTTTTTGCTTCAGTTTCTCTGGCTGTTAGCGATAGGGTAGACCCAGAGGTTGTGCCAACCAAAGAGCCGACCATTGAGCCTGAACCAAGAGTGTCTGTGGTGGAAGCAGTCAGATCATTTCCTGAAGGAGTTGCCCTGGAGGGTAAAGCAACACAACCGCAGATAGAGCTGGATGATGATTGGTTTTTGCTGCTGGATGTTGCCCCTAAAGTAGCAGGTACTTTGACCATTCTAAGCTTGCTGTTGGCCACTCCAAATACCAACCCATCCCTTGCTTCCAAAGGCTCTCAATTGCTGTGTGAGCCTGTTGACTATCCACAAAAGCTTTTGGCAAGGAATACACTATCATATTTACATGTTCTAGTAAAAGGCTTGCTACCTTGTGGACTGTTTTGGTTGTGTTTCTGAGGGTTACTCATGTCTCTATCAGCTGCACCAGTGGTGGTGATTTACCCTGATGTGAGCACCACAGCTGTTACCGTGGTGGAGGAGACAGTGGAACAGAAACCACCGAAGACCGTGAGGATGGTTGGAAGAGACTGGTAAGATGGAGGAGGGGCCTGTGGTAACACCTAGATAAGTGGATGATGATTGGTTTGTGCTTTGGGACCCCGCTCCCTCCGAGATACTGACCACACCCACGGGTATTGCTGCTTGACCACCATCTGCCCCTTTTGGCTTTTTCTTTGGTAAAACGCTGAACCCAGATTGTGTATTACTTGACATTGACAAGCCTGTTATCCTTGTTTTATTTCAGCCTTCCCCATAGACAGAGAGGTTATAGAGCAGGTACCCCGGAGAACAGTGATTGTGGTGGAGGAAACTAGGAAAACCACATAGAGTGGTGGAGGACAGACGTAAACAGGAGGTTGCACTGGTGCAAACACTGCCTCCCCAAGAGAGAGGGGAGGGTGATGATTGGTTCATGCTCCTTGAAGCCTCTCGTCAAGAGCCTGTGAAGATGCCAACAGGTACCCCCTGACCCTGACCGCATCATCCTAAGCTCTGTTTTGCTTCACATTCCCCATCAAGTTTGATGTGACATATTCCCTTATACTTTTTATAATTATGTGTGGTAAAGGGTCTCTAATCAGATATGTGCAGCTTTGGCACAATCAGATTCTGCGTTATAATTTGTGAATGGTACGAGTATCATAGTCAAGTCTCCTGGGTGCTCTGTGTCTGTCTGTATCAGTTGCTGTGGTAACTAGACCTGCCCCTGTGGTTGACGTGATGGTGACGAGCACAGAGCCGAGAACCCAGAAAAGGGTGACGATAGTGGAGGAGAGGTGGAGAGAGGAGAGGACCCTGCAGCAGAGACTGCCTCAGACACAGACACAGAGAGAGGTGGACGATGATTGGTTTGTCCTGCTGGATGCTGCCCCTAAAGAATCAGGTACCCCCCCATCTCTTCAATCCCCTATCCCCCCTGCTGTTCATGCTCATTTTAGCTGCAGACTGAGACTATCTAAAGACTGAGACTACTAAAAGACTGAAACTACCAAAAGACTGAAACTACCAAAAGACTGAGATAGATTGCAAAATAGTTGGGAAGAGATTTTTGACTTACTGATTCCATGGCATAGTGTTTATGAACTGATACGCAAAACGACGCCAGATTCAAAACTTAGAATTGTTCAATTTCAATTATTATACAAAAATCTTCCTACCAATAGAATGTTATTTATATGGGGGATACAATCTTTCCAGCTCTGCAGATTTTGCTGCAAAGAGACAGAATCATTAGATCATTTGTTTTGGTACTGTCCATTTGTAGCTTGTTTTTTGTCACAGGTCCAGGAATGGCTGAAGGATTTCAATATTTACCTGGAGCTAACCCTGCAGATAGCACTACTGGGTGATCTGAAAAGTCATAGTCAATCGATCAATAATATAATAATACTTTTAGCAAAAAGGTTTATTTTCAATTTACAATCTGTAGAAACAATGAGAATAGAAGGGTTCAGAACTTTTGTGAAACATCACAGTACAGTTGAAATATATATGGCAAATAGAAATCAAATATGGATGGTGTTAAGAGATAGATGGGAGGTGTTGAATGTTGCTGAAGGATGGGACTAATAACAACTAACAATAACTAATAACAACAAGATAACTAATGTAAAGCATACTGTGTCCATAATAAGTATATAGGTTATAGTTTGAGAGCTTTTGTGAAAGAGCACAGTTAGAAAGATATGGCATATAGAAGCAAACCAGATGGACATCATGAAAATGATCGGAGAGGTTGAGGGTAGAGGAAGTTCAGGAGGAAAAACAAACAAAATAGAATTATTGTAAAATTGACTGTGTCCATAAAATGTATATAGTATGTATAAGCTGGAAGTAGAGGCCTAAGCGTTGTTAGGGAAGGGGTGGTGGGGTTGGAAAGTAATAAAGGGAAATATATTTTTTTAAAGGATATGTACAGTTGAAGTCGGAAGTTTACAGTGAGGGGAAAAAAGTATTTGATCCCCTGCTGATTTTGTACGTTTGCCCACTGACAAAGACATGATCAGTCTATAATTTTAATGGTAGGTTTATTTGAACAGTGAGAGACAGAATAACAACAACAAAATGTAAAATCCTGCTGATTTTGTACGTTTGCCCACTGACAAAGACATGATCAGTCTATAATTTTAATGGTAGGTTTATTTGAACAGTGAGAGACAGAATAACAACAACAAATGTAAAATCCAGAAAAACGCATGTCAAAAATGTTATATATTGATTTGCATTTTAATGAGGGAAATAAGTATTTGACCCCTCTGCAAAACATGACTTAGTACTTGGTGGCAAAACCCTTGTTGGCAATCACAGAGGTCAGACGTTTCTTGTAGTTGGCCACCAGGTTTGCACACATCTCAGGAGGGACTTTTTTCCACTCCTCTTTGCAGATCTTCTCCAAGTCATTAAGGTTTCGAGGCTGATGTTTGGCAACTCGAACCTTCAGCTCCCTCCACAGATTTTCTATGGGATTAAGGTCTGGAGATTGGCTAGGACACTCCAGGACCTTAATGTGCTTCTTCTTGAGCCACTCCTTTGTTGCCTTGGCTGTATGTTTTGGGTCATTGTCATGCTGGAATACCCATCCACGACCCATTTTCACTATCTGGAAACAACAGTCTAAGCCTATAGTGAAGAACATTTGCTTCATCACATCCTGCAACATCGGTTAACTAGTACATCATACTTAAAACAATACTTTAATACACAAAATATCATTACAATAACTTTTAAACTTGTAGTTCTAGGTAAACATCCAGTCACAGTTCTTCGTTAGATTTTCACCGCAACCTTCACACATTAGAACTAAGAAAAGTTTCATCCAATCTCAACTATCTGAATAGTCGTCATCTTCCACCAAGCCTGGTGGGTCATATTCTTCATTCGGTTGGTCGGAGTCCGGGATTGGGCCATATCTCACCATCTGCTGTGATACTGCAATTCTCCAACGCCTTGCTCACCAACCCTCGGACACAGGGAATAAGACAACATCCACAAAGAACAAGTATACCCATAGAAGCTATAGCTGCACCCAGAATAGTTACAACAATAGTTTTCCATTTACCAAACATGTTATTGATGTATTCACCCCCCAGTTCTCAGCCCATTCTTTACTTAATGCAGTGAGACCTGCCAGTGCTCTAGTTACTGTACCATCTGGGGCTGTATTGTTGGGGATAAACATACAACAATGACCTCCCACCATCTTGCAAATCCGCCCTTCTCTGCTAAAAGCATTTCGAGAACCAAACTATTCTGCAGGTCATGAGTGAGGTGGCAGATAGTTGGCCTGAGATTCTCTTCACTGCATCCCTTATCTAATTAACAAACCTTTGTAGATGTTTTTATCAATTGTAACCCACCAGAAAAACGTTGTTGTAAACCCTTCTCCAATTTGATCTGTGATTGGCATTACTTTGGTGTCTATAACATTGATAATCTCTGGGGTTCATGGTGAATTGGGGTGCCTTAGTATTATCCTTTTTAAGAGTGGTTATTTGAATATCAGAACAATTAGGTGAGGTTTGGTTTGATCTCAAATCTATCACACAAGAGAACATGGTCTGAGGCATAGGTGCAGTTAGAAGGGTTGGCCTACCTGTTGAACAGGCATAACAATTAGTTTGACCCAACACCCTAGCTGTGTAGTTCATCCACCTTACCCAGAAGTTCTCATTTGAAATTCCTTCTACTTCTCCTTGGTTCATTTCCTGCAAGAGGAAATATTCTACCCTTGGTGGTTTAGTGCTATTTAGGATTCCTTCTGAGGGCCTTCCAATGGGTATTAGACTAGTTTTTGGTACCTCTGGTGATAACATTAGATCTACCTGCTGTTCTGTCTCGGGGGTGGAAGATTCATTTCTCTCCTGAAAAATGAGCCTCACACATGTATTTGCCCCGATATCATCAACACAGACCCAATAGTTCCTTGCTATGTCATCTTGCATAATTGACTTTACCAATATCACCAGTTCCGTTTTACATTTATCATGGGTTTGTTTAATTCCCCATCGGTGTACTGCGTCCATTCTATTCTCATAGTATGTTCCCCAGGTATGTTTAAACACCCTTGCCCAAGGACATGAACGTTCCCCAGTGCAAATGTATTTACCATACCTTCTAGGACCTAACTTTCTTGTACACGCCCCCTTCTTACCAAAGCCCCCAAAACCTCCTATCTCTTCATGGGAGAAGTTGAATGGTATCTTGAATCCCCCATCTTGTCCTAAACTGACTTTAACTATTAAAATAATAATTCCCCCAATAGTCTTTCTTGGTTTCAGTATTTCTACGAGATCGAATCAGTGCATCATTTCCCTGTTTAGGTTGACCTGGATTAATCCATAATATTATTAACATGATGATGCAGCTCAGAGTCCCCCAAAATCCCCAAAACCGCCATCCCAATCCTGTCCCTGACCCACCTGCCTGGTACTTCCCCATACCCACACCTCTATAAACCCCCCACAGTGATGAAAGGTCAGGGCAGGGTTTCTTCGTTAACAGAGTTTACCCCCGAACCCTAGTGGTTCAGTTCATCTCTTTATCTCCGTGTGTGTTCAACGGTGTTGGTATGTGGGCCTACCTTTTTGCAGTGGGTAATGTGGACCCAAGTGGCTCTCTCAGCTATTCTTATAGCGAAGGCAGTTACGAATAGGACTTGGTATGGTCCCTCCCAGCGTGACTGCTTTCAATCCTTTTTCCTCAACGATTGGATCCACACCCAGTCTCCAGGTTATATACTATGAATCACCTTCTCCTTTAATTCTCCTGTAGGACACAAATTCTTAGACATAAGGTTAACGAACAATTTTCACATGTGTTCTGCTAGTGTATTCTCTAGTTCTATGTCTGCCTGTTCTGGTCCTGCCAACTGTGGCATTCTGTAAGGTATTCCAAACACTTTCTCAAAGGGGGATAACCCATCTTTATCTGGGGTTACTCTAAATTTCTTCCCTTTACTCCGTGATAACTCTATAAAATCAATTTCTAATTGCTGGAAGGGGTACTTAGCCGGAGGATACTCACCCTGAGGTGCCCTTTGTCTGCCCTGGTGATTATTTTGAGCACAGATAACACATCTTGAACAAACGTATTTTTTAATTTATTTTTATTTTTAAATAATTAGTAATCCCATATGCAACTAAGTGTTGTCTAATCTGCTCTACCATCCATCCCTCCCTTTGACACATGGCTCTGCCCGTGTGTCAATATTGCAGCATATCTAAACAGTAATTTCGGGAGAATTGGTAAGCTGTCTTTGACCCATATTCCTTCCTTATTTACTGCGCCTTGCTTCACTCATCTGTGAACTTCCTTAATTGGGGCCCTACTGTAGCTCTCTATAAGTAGATCTCTATCTATCGAAACGTCCTCTTTTGACAGCTGACTAGGAACAGAGAAGTGTTTTAACCCTGCTGACAACAGTTGATAATACCTCAACTTACTTCTATCCCGTAAAAGTAATCCAAGATTAGTACAATATACTAGCAACAGGTATCCCTCATTCAGGGAAAGCTCTCTCTCTCTCTTCTGTTATTTTATGGTTCGAATCATATATATTATTACCAAATTATAAATTTCTTCACACTTTTCACAGTACTATAAATTACCCTCAACTTGGTAAAATAAACTATCTTAAAGTCCTCCTCTCATGCCTTTAGAATTTACCAGTGTGGATGATCAATTAACACCAGAAAGTCAAAACAGAGTTCAGAGGCCATTGAAATCATTCAAACAAACTGTTCCATCCCATAGTATACTAAACATTACCATCATCCTAAATATTTCATAAATGTTACTTATCCCAAGTGTTCATTAAGTCCTCATGACATTTATTCTCATAAGAAATCATGTATACCCAAAACTCAGTCAAAACTGAAAAACTCCATAAAATTCACTGTGTGTGCTCCTTTAAGACTTATCACCTTTGACCTGTTGAAAACCCCCTAAAATCAAAATAACAAGGCTTTATAAACATCATACTAGGTGTGTTGTTTTTTATTTGAAAAACCTAATTGAAAAACAACAACCAAAAATAGCCAGGCCCCACTTAATTTGGTAGCTCCCTTTTATGACGTAAATACTGCCTAACTCCAAAATGTAGTGTTGGAGTATATTTGATGATGGGGCTTTGTGTTGAATGAGAGGCTAGAGACTTAATAAAATAATAATTGGAATAATAATTATATATTAACTTGCTCACCCAAACGTAGACATACGTCATGGGTGAGACATAATTAATATAATATTGTACAAAGCCAATTTAGGGTTTCCACTAAATTTATCTCCATAGTATTCATATCCAATGTAGTGATTGACGTTCCTTAATGGAAACCCTAAATTGGCTTTGTACAGACTTTTACTAATATTCTATTTCTCACACTTGCTATTTTAATTCCTTCTGGTGTACACCCCTCCCTGTATTTCTTTATCCCGGATTATTTGTTGAACATTACTGTTCTATAATCTACTACAGGTTCTCTGAATACAGGGTAGTTTCTTTTGGTAATGGCCTATTACCGTGAATCGTTACGGACCCACCCTGAGCAATCCCAGACTGCCCCAATTAATGAATAAAGACTACTGACCTTATCCTTGCAGCCGAGATTCAATGTAGGTTTGGATTCCGTCACCGTCTCTGTCATTAATCAGGTGTCCTCTGGCCTGTCTTAACCCTTAATGTCAAAGGGCAGGACTTTCTATTTACGAATGTATCATTCGCCCGTCGACGGTTTTCAGAGTTACCTGGAATGACAGAGGCAGGTATTGGATTCCAGCTCAGAAGGACCAAGCTGTTATGTGAATTATTTCTCTGTGCGTCTCCCAAAAGGTTGTAAGTCTTTTGGATTTAAGAAACGGACAGAGTCCCGGTCTGCATAGTCAGAGATTTATTCATTGAGAATTCTGCCTTCACAATTTCAGAGTCCATCTTTTATACTCACACGTCATACAAAAATCCCTCCCCTCTTTAGGCGGGCTGTAGTTTTCCACTTTACAACTGCTCTCCTGACCATCAGTTCACACACACACACACATACACACACACACACATGCATACACACACACACATACATACACACACACACACACACACACACATGCATTCCTTAGTTATCACCGTCCTCACAATATCATGCACCATATTTCTTACTCCTTAAAAAGCCTAACGGTTTCTCTCCTCCCTAAATTGTGAGGCCTCTTTATCTTGGTTTCTCAGTTGTCTGTAGACAGTTCTCCTTGTCCTTTGTTGTCTGGTCTAACTCTTACTCACATTGCTAAATAGTAGCTCAATGTCATAGTCTTTACTGGTCCTACACTCACACATTTTAACACATTTCACACAGTTTCAGGGTGTAATAATTAGTCATTAATAATTATTCTATCATTTTCCCATGATGTCAAGCAAAGAGGCACTGAGTTTTAAGGTAGGCCTTGAAATACATCCACAGGTACACATCCAATTGACTCAAATGATGTCAATTAGCCTATTAGAAGCTTCTAAAGCCATGACATCATTTTCTGGAATTTTCCAAGCTGTTTAAAGGCACAGTCAACTTAGTGTATGTAAACTTCTGACCCACTGGAATTGTGATACAGTGAATTATACGTGAAATAATCTGTCTGTAAACAATTGTTGGAAAAATTACTTGTGTCATGCACAAAGTACAGTGAGGGAAAAAAGTATTTGATCCCCTGTTGATTTTGTATGTTTGCCCACTGACAAAGAAATTATCAGTCTATAATTTTAATGGTAGGTTTATTTGAACAGTGAGAGACAGAATAACAACAAAAAAATCCAGAAAAACGCATGTCAAAAATGTTATAAATTGATTTGCATTTTAATGAGGGAAATAAGTATTTGACCCCCTATCAATCAGAAAGATTTCTGGCTCCCAGGTGTCTTTTATACAGGTAACGAGCTGAGATTAAGAGCACACTCTTAAAGGGAGTGCTCCTAATCTCAGTTTGTTACCTGTATAAAAAGACACCTGTCCACAGAACCAATTAATCAATCAGATTCCAAACTCTCCACCATGGCCAAGACCAAAGAGCTCTCCAAGGATGTCAGGGACAAGATTGTAGACCTACACAAGGCTGGAATGGACTACAAGACCATCGCCAAGCAGCTTGGTGAGAAGGTGACAACAGTTGGTACGATTATTCGCAAATGGAAGAAACACAAAAGAACTGTCAATCTCCCTCGGCCTGGGGCTCCATGCAAGATCTCACCTCGTGGAGTTGCAATGATCATGAGAATGGTGAGGAATCAGCCCAGAACTACACGGGAGGATCTTGTCAATGATCTCAAGGCAGCTGGGACCATAGTCACCAAGAAAACAATTGGTAACACACTACACCGTGAAGGACTGAAATCCTGCAGCGCCCGCAAGGTCTCCCTGCTCAAGAAAGCACATATACAGGGCTGTCTGAAGTTTGCCAATGAACATCTGAATGATTCAGAGGAGAACTGGGTGAAAGTGTTGTGGTCAGATGAGACCAAAATCGAGCTCTTTGGCATCAACTCAACTCGCCGTGTTTGGAGGAGGAGGAATGCTGCCTATGACCCCAAGAACACCATCCCCACCGTCAAACATGGAAGTGGAAACATTATGCTTTGGGGGTGTTTTTCTGCTAAGGGGACAGGACAACTTCACCGCATCAAAGGGACGATGGACGTGGCCGTGTACCGTCAAATCTTGGGTGAGAACCTCCTTCCCTCAGCCAGGGCATTGAAAATGGGTCGTGGATGGGTATTCCAGCATGACAATGACCCAAAACACACGGCCAAGGCAACAAAGGAGTGGCTCAAGAAGAAGCACATTAAGGTCCTGGAGTGGCCTAGCCAGTCTCCAGACCTTAATCCCATAGAAAATATGTGGAGGGAGCTGAAGGTTCGAGTTGCCAAACGTCAGTCTCGAAACCTTAATGACTTGGAGAAGATCTGCAAAGAGGAGTGGGACAAAATCCCTCCTGAGATGTGTGCAAACCTGGTGGCTAACTACAAGAAACGTCTGACCTCTGTGATAGCCAACAAGGGTTTTGCCACCAAGTACTAAGTCATGTTTTGCAGAGGGGTCAAATACTTATTTCCCTCATTAAAATGCAAATCAATGTATAACATTTTTGACATGCGTTTTTCTGGATTTATTTGTTGTTATTCTGTCTCTCACTGTTCAAATAAACCTACCATTGAAATTATAGACTGATCATGTCTTTGTCAGTGGGCAAACGTACAAAATCAGCAGGGGATCAAATACTTTTTTCCCTCACTGTAGATGTCCTAACCGACTTGCCGAAACTATAGTTTGTTAAGTGGTTGAAAAACAAGTTTTAATGACACCAACCTAAGTGTATGTAAACTTTCGACTTCAACTGTATGTATATGTATGTGTATGTATATATACTGTATATATACTGTATGTGTGTGTATGTATATATATATACGGGAACAAAAAACATATGGGGATTGGAAGTGATGCAGACAATTACATTGATGGAAGTTACAATCTATCTGCAATATTAAAGCTGATCTACCCCCAAAGAAATTCGTTTTTTTTTTAAAGGATTGAGACTACCAAAAGACTGAGACTACCAAAAGACTGAAACTACCAAAAGACTGAGACTACCAAAAGACTGAAACTACCAAAAAACATCAGTTAATTTTGTCCTGCAATTCTATTTGGATTTCTTTTGTTGAGAATTGCTTAAGCAAAATGGTCTTGTACCGATACTTTAACGTTGCATGTAAGCTGTGTCTTCGATAAGAGCCCTGTTTGTGTGTTTGTATCAGTTGCTCTTCGAGAGCGTCTCCAGGTCTATCCAGACATAACGTCTGTGGTCAAAGGTCCAGCCGCTCAGCCCAAACCCAGAGTGGTGGTTGCTGAGGAGAAGAGATCACTGTTTGAGAGGAGGATTCTGGAGGAGAGACCAGCACAACCCCAGAGAGATGAGGATGATGATTGGTTTGTGTTGCTGGATAAAGAATCGGGTACAGGTACTTTGCGTCTTTAGTTTTTGCATCTTCAGTTTCTGCGTGCTGCCCTAAAACAATATGTTGATCTCACACCCGCTCTCCAACTTCAACTTACCAGAAAGGTTTGCTGACTAACATTCGTCCAACGCTTTTACAACGTGGTTGTGCATTGTCATGGGATTTTCCCCTAAAAAAGGCACTGTTTGACGAACCAATGGGTCTTTGGTTATGCTTTTCTTTTTGAAGAAATACATATTTAGTTTTCCTTTTAACGGCTTTAGGAATACTATACCAAAGTGAGGCATGAGCTTATTTACTCAATAAGTCAGGACAACTTCTGCCATTTGCATCGTTGGTTATTAACCCAATGAGTCAGGACAACTTCTTCCATTTGCGTCGTTGGTTATGGTTGAGAAGTACTGTCCATGCTTTGCTGCCCGTTCTATATTGTGGACAGTTGCTTCTTACAACTCATCCAAGCTTTTCCCCTTGCTAGTCTCATTCTAGAATAGAATGAGCTGGCCCATGAAGGTACAGTATGGGCCTGAAGGCTGTGTGTGCGCTGGCCTCAGTGTGTGTGGAATTGAGTATGAGTTTGTTGTGTGTCTTTGTGTTCACGATGTTCTTCTGCGCTCTGTCAGTGTGTTTACCTCTCGCTACACTAGGTTTGATGATCTCAGTGCACGCAGACCGTCTCACTCCTGCCCTCTTTACAACCCAATATCTAAATACTAACACTCCCTCTATCCTGTCTCTCTCCCTCCAGTGGTGGGCACCCACAAGGCCGCCCGTCCGGTCAGCGCCCCAGTCTTTTCCCAGGCAGCCCTGATGGAGGCGGGGATCCCCATGGCCCCCCTGGACCTCCAGCAGCCCCAGACCTCCACCCCCATCAGGCTGCCAGCCCGCCAGGAGGACAGGAAGCTGGAGGTCACTGTGGAGGCGGTGGACGAGGGCTCAGCCGAGGTCAAGGTACTGCAACTAAGAACTACAACCCCCACAATCCCCTGCCCTACAGGGATCATCATCATTCTCCCCTCACACACAGATACACTGGTCATAGCAGTTACAGATAGACTGGTCTCAGCAGTGATATTGCTAAATTCAGTCTCATAGTATTATTTATAAGAGAAGTATAATATGATGATTTGTCTATACTTAGAAAATAGAATAGCTGTGCATCATTTTTGTCCTCCATTGGTCACAGTAATGATAGTGTAACATACACGTGATATAGACACACCTCAGATCACTAGTTCCTCAGATGGCTAAACTATGGACAGAGAGGATGCTCCTAGTGGAGGATTCTAACGTCATTATGCCTTCTCTCCTCCTCCCTGCCTGGGGTAACCAGTCTGAGCAGACGGACACTGAGGAGCCGGTGCGAATAAGGAAGGTCAGACCTTTGGCCTTGTCCCGACTCCTGCTTGTGCATTATATTAGTATTGTAGTGGCTCCACTCCCATTCTTACTTACACTACTGCCAAGTCTCCCATCCATAAGACTAACTTCACCCTCTCCTCATTTTATTAGCCTGGTTTCATTTGAATACTGCTCACAAACTACAAGGTCATATGAGTTGACCTCATGTTCAAGTCAGACATTGGATATGACAATAGTATTGGTCATGTGCAGAGACTGAGATTACGTATATGAGATACATTACATATGCTTTTGGTTTGTACAGACAGGAAGAAAAGTTAGGGTCTTTGAAGAATGAATGTTGAAAGAAGATTCCTCATTGGCTGCTGCATGTACATGCATGACATTAGACTAGGTTTTCATGATAACTAGTGTTTCTTTCGAGTACTATATTACTGCCTGACCCTTCACCTTTACCCCCCCAACCCTTCAAGACACCCACTCTAATAGCCCTGGCTTGGGTCCCCTGCTTTGCACACTTGGGATTCCAGGGCCCTTGTGGCCCCCAGAGGCTCCAGGCCACTCTGCATGCAGACCCCTCACCCTCACCACCCCCCACTCCTTTAGAACCCCCCCCCCCCCCCAGCAACAATGCATGTCCACGTGGAACCTGTGAAACCCACACCTTTCTCTTTTTTTTTGTTCTTTCATCTTTCACAGAAAAGAGCTAAGAGAACTGAGGGTGACTCAATTTATATCAGACATAGCCTTTTAATGTTGGAGGTTTGTATACCCGTCTTCTGGAGATCTGTCTCTATACGCTGTGTTTTCCTGCTCTTTGGCTACTGGCTGCTATAATACAACAGCATGCTTTGCATTTGGCATTACTGATTCACATACTTTGTTTTACATAGGCATCTTTGGTTTTGCTATTAGATGATTTTGACTGAGTAATCTCTCATTTGCTTTGTGTGTCGCGATATTAACTCTTAACACAACTAGATACTTGTTTCAAGGGGAATGTTGTTGAGTAGGAGCTATCTCCTGATTTCTTCTCGCAAAGTATATGATTGGGATTGTGGTCTCTTCTCCCCAGACATCACACCATACACGTTCATACACGTTCCATGAAAGGGAGCCAGGAGTGTTTCATTTGTGGTATTTGTAGATACTGTTACTGATCGGCCACGTTATGCAGCTGAGATGTTTCCGTCTGCTAGCTAGGCCATTTGAGTGTTAGTAGAAGCATTACCAATACATCCCTGTCATGTTGTTTCAGCTTTGTCTCTATCCTCGGTATACAGTAGAAAAGTGCTTCATCTCCATACTTGATATAGGGCAGACGACCACCAACCTTCCCTCTCCACCGCTCCACCATCACATATCTTCCCACTCACCAGCTCAAAGCCTGTGTCCGCTATTTGTGGCCCTGTCTGAATCCAGTTTATGATGTCTCCCAGTCATATATTTATGCAGTTCCGAATGAATGACTTGTAAGAGTACGCTCCACCGCTCTCATCGCCGTAAGAATCAGCCAGCCACCGAAACAGGTTGCCATGCTGCTGTCGCTCTTGATCTCTATGATTTGTAACCTGATCAGATTCTCTGTAGTGCTGCTCACTCGAATTGAACAGGTTGATTTACCAAGGATTTAATAAGAAGCTCTCAATGAGAGCTCAGAGAATCAATTATATTTTGAATCGATCTGATGAACTGAGCTCTGGCCTGCTTTGACGCTGTAGCTTTGAGTCAAATAGAACAGCAAAGTAACCTGCTGCTTGGTTGACATTGTTTATTGTCTAAACATGTTCATATGAGTGACATTAAAGTGCCCTTGTTTCTGACACACCTGTTTTCTCTCCCCACCTTCTACACATCTACTCTGTCACTCCTCTTCTCCACACCTGTCTTCCAAACCAAACGTTTGTTGTCATTTTCCACTCTCTCTCTCTCTCTCTCTCTCGCTCTACCTCTCTCTCCCCCCCCCCCCCCCCCCCCCCCCCCTTCTCTCTCCCCCTCTCCTCCCTCCACCTCTCCCTCCCCCCTCCAGGACTTTGATAAGCCCCAGGAGGATCTGATCAGGCACCATAGCAGTATCAGTGAGCTGAAGAGGAACTTCATGGCGTCTGTCCCAGAGTCCCAGGGGCCCACCGAATGGGACAAGCGCCTGTCCACTCACTCCCCCTTCCGCAGCCTGGGCATCAACGGACAGCCCCTGCCCGGTGCCGACGGGGTGAGTACCGTCTCAGACCAGACACTGTCGTACCACACACCCCTCCTCTCAGTTCCCTATAGTTCACGTCAGCTTCCCAGCTCTCCCATTCCACAGAGAAGGAATGGATGTTAGCAGTCAATGTTGGGGTCAGTTCCGTTTCAATGCAAGTCAATTTGGGAGATGAGGAGAAATTGAAATGGATAGAAAACTGCTGATCGTCATCAGTGAGGATTTGGAAATGTGTGAATATATTCCTGAATTGACTGAATTGAAGTACCTCACCACACGTTTCCCTCTGTACGGCTCTCTGTTGTGTTCTCTAAGTTGGATGTGTTGGGGTGGAGTACCACAACACCATCCCATGGTTGTCCCTTTTGTTTGTCTTGGTTTGTGTTGTTGCGATGCAAACACTTATTGCATGTCTTGACAAAAATGTTTCTGTATGAGCAAGGCCTTTTCCCTTTCAACCGGACCCATCTAGTCTATGAAAGGCTTTCTCTGTCATTACTACCCTACTAAAATGGAAAGTCTTCTGTTTGCATGGGCCAACTGAAGAGAACACCTTGTCAAGACTGATTGGAACAGATCAGTCTGTCTGTTCACCTTGTGGCCCAGTCCGTTTGAATGTTCAGCTGTTTGTTGTGAGGAAGTCACTTATGGTTTGGGCATGTGGTATGCACTGGCTGAGCCTATTGGTCAGGTTTCTGAGCCCAGCTCTGTCTTTACCTCCTCATTGGCTGTCCGTCGGTCTGACGCTCCCCTCAGTGCATGACGCCCAGACCAGATTGGACAGAGAAACTGCATGACCCTGTGACGACCACTCTCACCTCCTCCTTGCACGTTTTCAACTTGAAGATCATGACCCTGGAGTAGAAGACTTGACCTGTGTGCTCATCCTCCGCTCTTCTTCCCCTCAGTGCTGTGCTTGTTTTCTGCTTGATCTCCTCCATCCTGACTCCTTCTCCCAAATACTGCCCCTCTTTCCCTAACTCCGCTTTCCCACACTTCCTTTTTTTCTCATTTTGCTTTGTTCTTCCGTGATACTCCTGTCCCCAAGCCCACAACTGAAGAGTCTGAAGGCCCACAGGTTACCCATAACCACCTAGTCCGACTCAGACAAATGCGTTCTCAATTCTTCCTAGTTTACCATGACACAGCTTTGCATAGCCTTCCTGTCCATTACCCTACATCACAGACATTTCAACATCCCCTACCTCTCTCATCTCTCTCCCCCCCTACCCTCTGCCCCTCTCCACCCTCACCCTTCTTCCCTCAGTTCGCCATCCGCCTTCCCCGTGGCCCCCTGCAAGACTTCTACTCTAAGCGCAGCTGAGGTGGCATCCTGGGGGCGTCCCGAGTCAGCCCAGAGGGAACCTCTGCTGCTACATCATCATCCTCCTCTTCTTCTACTTCAGAAGCTGCTTCCTGTCGCGTGACTCTGGAATCACAACTTACTTCCTGTGTGTCTTGCTCAGTTTCCCCCCCAACTCTTCCTGACAACTGTTCCTACTGACTGTTGTTCCTTCCTAAAAAGTTGAAAGACTTGACGATGAACCCACTTCTGTTTTTCTATATCTGATTATCTGGACTAGACGAGGTGCGTCTGACAATGACAGTTGACGGTGGCTTTTTACAGTAGGAACAGTTTTGATATGTGCAGATACCACTAATAGAACCTGTTTTTGTACACACCCAGACAGATGTCAATGTTGTCATATGTCATAGTAAGATTAGTTAGTGGCGTGTTGTGGTATTTGATGTATGAAGTCTTTTATAGAAACACATTTAGCCAGCACTGGTGGACATCTAAATGGTATATTTGAGTATACCTCATCACAATTCACTATGTTGTTTTTTGTATGCACATCTATCTAATACTGACAAGGTGACTTGTTTCGTTCACTGGTGTTTGGTAAAACACTCTTGTCAACTGCAAGAGATTTTGTCCTGCTGCATACCCTTTTGACAATCAATTTTGACCCAAAAAAATTCAATAAATTCTTGCTAAACATGTTTGATCATGAGAAACATTGTTTCATTCCCTACTGTTGTTCACACAGTGGATATATGTGTGCCTGTGTCTTTCTTTTAGAGTGTGTGCATTACTCCTCCTATAAGGGAAGAGTTCGACACTAAGGCAGCGCTACAGCAGGAGTCCAGCAGCACTGTAAGGCCATCGGGGGGGCCCAGCCCTGCTAGGAGCACAGAAACTGGGCCTTATGGGGTTGACTCCAAATTCCCATGATGCACCTGGGGTGGTGGGGCCATGTGATCAGGGGGATGAGGAGGAGCGTGTTAGCTCTGGGATCACCACCAGCCACGTACCCATCGTTGAGGTGGAGAGGGCACAGCTGCCCCACTCCTATCAACTCCAGCGTACAGTGCTGGAGGAGGAGGAGGAGGAGGAGGAGGAGGAGGAGGAGGAGCCGTCAGACCCAGGGTCGAGGGGGGAGCAGTCTGGGAGGATAACTGGAGCCTTCCACACCTCCTATTTCGTGAGCGGTGTTCCCCATGTCATACGCTGTTTCCAGGTAGCCCTTCCTCTGCCTTGACCAGCTCCTGTTGATAGACTCCTCTGCCTGTCCTCTGCTCTGTCTGGGTACAGTGTACACTCACCCTTCTGCAGCATGGCTACAACTATCCAGACAAATCCAAACTCTAAACACTGAAATCTATACTGTAGTCATACTGGTGTTGGTCAGGATGGTTGAGTTCTGCTAGAGCCGGTTGCAGAGGTGGTGCACAGTGATGGGGTAAGGGAGTGTTTTCTCTGGTGTTGGGGGCTGATGGGAAGAGACAATGATCAAGTCTCTATTCCTCTCTGACACACACACAATATGAATTGTCTTTCTCTCTCTGGCCTCCTGGTGGTGGAAATCTTGGTGAAACTGGAATGGGGAGTAGGAATGAGGGACCCAATCAGTTGTGAATGAAAAGAGAGTGGTGTGGTTTAAGTGTTTTTAATGGGGAGTGGTTGATGAAACATTGGAAAATTACAGCTGTGCCATGTTCAATTGGGCACAACCAATGATTTCTATAAACACTGGACACATAACATCATGTAAGGTTCAGATATAATGATATGATATAAAGGCTATATGCCTGTTTGACATGTATAGAGGAAAGAAACCATGTCTGCTCCTTTCATGACATGTCCATGTGCAACGTTCAGTAAAACTGACCGGAGTGTGTTCTTCCTCCCCAGCCCCCTCTGGTGCAGACCCAGACGGTCACCATCACAGACGTGTCCAACTCCCTTCCTACCGACGTCTCCACTAAGGATGTCCCTATCATTCAGACCCAGACAAAGACTATCACCTACGAGTCTGCAGAGGTAGCGACCCCATGATAATAAAGATGATGGTACAGCTGGGGAACTCTGAGCTGTGGTTGAACTTCAACTACCACAGGGTATAATCAGGGCAGTGTTCAGGGATCTATTCATGGCATTTCTTTCTGAAACGTTCAGTACAGTGCACCGTCTTTAACACTACCCATGACTGAGTTGTTGCCATGGAGCCATTCATTTCCTGTTTGTTTCCTTTCTCAGGTGTCAGTTGACGGGTCAGACGGGGAGAAAGAGGCCACAGCACTGAGCAGCATTCAGACCATTACCTCAGAGACCAGCAGGGAAACCAGTGGCACCTCCATCACTACCACCACCACTCACATCTCCAAGGTAAGGGCACACCATAGACCACACACGCATGCACATGCGCACACACACACACACACACACACACACACACACACAACCCCTCATCTGTGTCATGGCCTCTGACTATTTCTCTTCTCCCAGGTGGTGAAAGGAGGAGCGTCAGAGACCAGAGTGGAGAAGAGGATCGTCATCACTGCCGACTCAGAGGCTGACCAGGTACAGTACAGTACAGTGTAGTATGAAGGCTCCTTCTACACATGCCAAGGCCTGATCAAGCACAATGGTTCTCTGTGACACACCTTTGTCATAAGGTGTACAACAATCTAGGTGGAGGTTAACTGAAGCTTTGTCTCCTGTAGGGAAGCGACGGCGGAGCAACAGCAATGTGATTCAGCCCAACACACAGTCAGAGAGCAGCCCTCTGGATCTGATGCTCAAGACACCAGAGACTTCTAGTACAGGGGACCAAATGACTAACCTCATTATCCCAGAGCCACTCCCACCTCCTCAACCCATACTGACATTGTGTCCAGACTGGTCCCCTCTAGAACCACTGTGGTTACATCCCAAATGGCACCCCTTATTCTGTATATAGTGCACTACTTTTGACCAGAGCCCTGGTCAAAAATAGTGCACTATAAAGGGAATATGGTGCCATTTGGGATGCATCCTGTGTCTCCCTGCCTAGTGGGATATGAACAGGCCAGGGAGACAGCCTATCGTGTCCTCTCTTTCCACAGTGCTGTTCTGACTGCATGGTGGCTTCATTTTGGTCTATTCCACTCAAATCTCATATTTCGCCAAATTACTCCTTTTTTATTGTAGTAGGAAAGATAAACATACCTTTTTAGTTCTAAGATCATTTAGGTAATTTGCTTTTAAATGTTTATTTACAACATATTTTTCTGTTGTTTTTATTGCTTTGACAACTACTGTATAATTCAGTTTAAAGGTAGATTCAGAGATATGACGTAGATGCAGAAGTAAACAGCATAGTGGGTAAATTTCCGCAAAACAACTAAGAGCATTGAAGCGCAAGGCTCAACTTCTCCACTGTTTTGGTGCCCTGGCTACCACGCTGTGAACAGTGTGAAGCGAACCCATGCACATGCGCAGATACTGTGTGAGAGCAAAGTCGTGCATCTCACTCATCTCAATATCTGCGGTGCTGCTCGTGGCAAAGTCATTTCACTGAGTCTCCCTTTAACATGCTCATTTTTATATAAATCTTTTCAACTGAGCTTTTTAAGTAATAACATTATCAGACTTCTTCAATCAGATTTTAGATGCTGGACAGAAACTATAGTGATTTTTTTGAAAGGGAGAACTCCTTTGAGTTTGTTTACGTTTATAATTGAGGAATATTTTTTTAATTGAATATTCAAATTGAAATTACATACCTCACTTAAAAGTATTGAACAAAGATATTGCAACTCAAACAACCATGCCTGTTTGGACTGCTGTTTGGATTTGTTCTCTGCTCAGGTAAAATATATCTTTCTTAACCAGCCAAGTTAACGTGTAATACTACTAGGTCATGCCACGATGACCCTCTTGTTATAAACTTTGACGTGATGACAACTATCTATTTTGAAATGTTTACTCTATTTTATAGCATTACAGCTTTTATAGTATTTGTACAAAATGAGGTTTTTAAGTTATTGAAGTTCATATCCTACTCAGTGGTAGCTTCTCATATCAACACTGTCTTCTTTTCTACACCTTGAATTTGGGAGTTCCCATGTTTCCCAGGACGTATTCTGCCTTGTGTTTTTGCTTCCTCTTTTAACCCACCAATGAGTATCTAGAACTATCCCATGCGGTCTGATGTGAGTTTAATGGAAAGTCCTGCCGTGTTTTGTCCCCTTAAAATGATTTTCGATAGAAACGTTATTGATTTTCAAAGCTGTTGTTGATTTGATGAAACATCTAAACAATGCTTTGGTCTGTTTCTCAGGTTTTGTTATGTCTTTATCAATACAGCAAGACGAAAGCCCTCTGTATGATTGTGTGAAGAATGTTCAGTCTTAATGTACATTCTAGCACTGCAGATGGGGCCAAATGATACTCAGCTCTTAAACACTGTAGTACATGTAGAAGATTTATCACTATCAAAAGGCAGCTGTCCCAGTGTATGTGGCTTTGCTTTCATATAGGGGGCACATTTTGTCTTTTTGTACATGTTCTACCATCATTTCTTTGTAAAGTAGGGACTGTTTGTTTAACGTGATTCTTTGTACTGGGATGTTTTTTAAAACACGAGCCTGTTTGCAGGCTTTTAGACACATTAGTCACAATATGTTGTTCAAACAATCACATTCATAATCATCCAAGTTTGTAAAGCTTTTTTACCACTTGTTTAGAGTAGATTCCTCTCACTTGCTGTACCCTGTCCTTTTGTAGATCAAATAAAGATGTATGAGAACCCTTTTAGAGAACGACAATTGGTAGCAGACCTTTCTTCCCCTCTGAAGAAGTTTGTGAAGGTGGAACAAACTATTAGCTAGAAGGACCCCCTTCAGAGGGCATAAACTAGAATCTCAGCACAGCGAAACCCTTCGTTTTTAGATTTTTAAACATGTTGCTTTTCTGTGACACATTATATCCCTGTCTTAATTTTTTTTTTATAAACTTCAATAAAATCTGAATGAATTATCAAGTGGTGTGTAGTGTCTCTGAGCATGATGATTTCCAGGTCACAATAAGAACATTTTTAAATAAAAGGTGACTAATAGAATTGTAAGAAATAAGATTTTATTTAAAGTTCTTAATTCCAGATGCTTGCATACAGAATTCAGTAAATCAATAATAGCATTACCACTGGAATTCTAGATTGAAAGAAAAAAACAGTATAATCTAAATGTAAAATGTAGTACCATAATGTAAACTCGGTGTAGCTGGAGGTTATCAACATGAAATAGACATCCACCTGTGTGTTCAATACCACTTAATATTGTAACAGACCAATGCAACAGAAACCATGCGTGTCATTTAGTGTCCAGACAAGAGACAACTCTGCTCTTTCATCATCTGTCATGGACATGTTTACAACTAATGATGGCTTAGTGGCCCGGCCATATTCACTTTGGAACAGTGAGAGTTCCAGCACTGGTATTTTATGTAAGCACAAAGCAAACCTATGTTGGCCTTCACCCTGAGAAGAATGTATCTTGTGCATCTAATAAACTCCATCTAATATCTTAAATTCGATTTGTGCAGCATTCACTCTCTAATGAATCTATAATACATATCAAACTGGTCGTTATTTGGATTCTCAGCCAATCATCTGGACTTGAATAATCATTAAGACTTGAAGATTGTTGTATATCACCCTTTTCACACTGCCAAGTTGTACTGGGTTGGTCAGGTTACTTGTCCATCCTAGGTAATGGGAAAGGAAACCATGAAGGGAATGTATCCGAGCCAGCCCAATACGGTTCAGGTCGGCACGATAGTGTGAAAATGGGTATTAGGCTGCGTTTACACAGGGAGCCCAATTCTGATATTTTGACCAATCAGATCAGCTCTTTTGAAAATAATTGGGCAAAAGATCAGAATTGGGCTGCCTTAGAGCAGGGTTTCTCAAATTCGTCCTGGGGCCCCCCCTGGATGCACATTTTGGTTTTTGCCCTAGCACTGCACAGCTGATTCAAATAATCAAAGCTTGGATGAAAAAAGGTTTGAAAGATTGGGTCCTTTCAAGGAGAGGGGAAGCGTTGCAAGATTGTAATCAGTAGGGTTATGATAGGCTAAAGTACAGAGGGAGCCAATCACAAAACAGCATCCTGTGTAACAGACAGATTGGTCTGGTGTCCGGACGTCGACATAAATCTATCTACATCAGGGATGTGTGACACCACTTCGGCCCCCGATGACTGGAGTTGCCCATCCCTGATATACATGTATGTGTTGTATCTGTCACAATGTGTTTTTAACAAGCCTTTATTGATCTACATCATCCACTGCTTTCATTCCAACCGAGTAAAAATCTACATAAAATGTCTCTTTCCCGGCCCGGGTGTCTAAGTTCTAGCGAATAGCCTTCACAGGACTCTTGAAGCTGGAGGCAGCCTGGAGTTGGAGTTGATAGGCCATGGGGTGGATCTTGAAGCCATACAGCCTGAGAAAAAAAAACTAAATATTAGAACACAATAACTGTGTGGATAGTAGAAGGCTGCCATTATGCTAACATGTCTCATATCAATCTTCAAATCAGTTCAATCAAGCAAATAGTTGTTGGTACAGTTCCCAGCTGAACATGAGTTATGTAATAACACTATCAAATCATATGTATTTAAAATGGGGCAAACAAAGCATCTTGATGAATTTGCAAAGATAATTATCCAAATAAACCTTGGCACAAACTGGTTGGCAGGTCTTTTTGGCCGGTACTCTGGGTGCACCATAAAGAGCATGTGGGGGAAGCCCGTCCCGAAGTAGGCCCCGTCTGTGTGGTGGTGCCGGGAGGACTTGGGGGTGTACACATCCATGCACTTTGGACAATACAGCTTCACCATCGCCTCACCTGGGATGTCTGACAGACCTATGGGAGAGGAGAGGATCAACGTCTATGCAACACAGCTGAGGGCAGAGAAATCTATCCTGGTGTCAGCTGGCAATTTAAAATATTGATCAAATATATTTACTGTGCTAGCAAGAGTAATCTTATTGAAGATTCCCTCAGACCTGTGCTGACAAAACACTGTGATATACAGTACCTGTAAAAAGTTTGGACACACCTACTCATTCAAGGGTTTTTCTTTATTTTTACTATTTTCTACATTGTAGAATCATAGCAAAGACATCAAAACTATGAAATAGTGTGCAAAGCTGTCATCAAGGCAAAGGGTGGCTATTTGAAGAATTTCAAATATAAAATATATTTTGATTTGTTAAACACTTTTTTGGTTACTACATGATTCCATGTGTGTTATTTCATGTCTTCACTATTATTCTACAATGTAAAAAATTGTAAAAATAAAGAAAAACCCTTGAATGAGTAGGTGTGTCCAAACGTTTGACTGGTAGTGTAATTCAAAGGTGACTGGTGAGAAATGGTTCAATTCCATGAAAAGAGAGGCGGTATGTTCTGTGAGTGAACTGGAGTATGAACACATTATTAAAGTCAAACTCACCAATAGGAAGCATTGGTTGATTCTCACAGTACACCCTTGGGCAATAGCCAAAGTCCCCCTGTTGGTACTTATCCAGCTGCAAACCAAAACATTTTTCAGTGTGAAACATGGTCACACACATCTAGTCCAAGAAAGCCAAACTAACTACATAGACTGACAGGTAGAATTGAGAACAGGGGTCTCCAACCTTTTCTAGCATGAGAGCTACTTAAAAAATATATATATATTTGAAAGCTATTTTATCAATATACCTGGTAAAATAATGGTTAATATACAACTAAAGGGGCCCCATAAAAATATATTTCACATTTTCCTGAATTCTCTTTTCACCGTTACATTCTTCCTGGTTCGGGATTTTTTAAGACCTTTTTTTATTTATTTTCTCAATATTACAATTATTCATAGAGAAAATGGAAAATTGATGTTCTGAGTCCATGTCAATGCTTAAATCACACAAGAATAAAAAAATGTAGGTCTGAGGGGGAAAAAATAATAACATTTTAATTTGCGTGTAATTCCCTTTAATTGTACATTACATTTGAGATTTGAGTCATTTAGCAGACGCTCTTATCCAGAGCGACTTACAGTTAGCGCCATGCTCTACCAACTGAGCTACACAGGGCCCATCTAGCAAGAGAGGAATGTGTCAGTCTAGCTATGTTGCTGCTGTTACCTACTGCTGCAGCACATGTCATGACAGAGTTTGCAAAACAATCGGCACCCCATTGATACAAATAATGATGATAGTGGGGGAAAAAAGTATTTAGTCAGCCACCAATTGTGCAAGTTCTCCCACTTAAAATTTAATTTTCATCATAGGTACACGTCAACTATGACAGACAAAATGAGGAAAATAAATCCAGAAAATCACATTGTAGGATTTTTTATGAATTTATTTGCAAATTATGGTGGAAAATAAGTATTTGGTCAATAACAAAAGTTTCTCAATACTTTGTTATATACCCTTTGTTGGCAATGGCACAGGTCAAACGTTTTCTGTAAGTCTTCACACACTGTTGCTGGTATTTTGGCCCATTCCTCCATGCAGATCTCCTCTAGAGCAGTGATGTTTTGGGGCTGTCGCTGGGCAACACGGACTTTCAACTCCCTCCAAAGATTTTCTATGGGGTTGAGATCTGGAGACTGGCTAGGCCACTCCAGGACCTTGAAATGCTTCTTACGAAGCCACTCCTTCGTTGCCCGGGCGGTGTGTTTGGGATCATTGTCATGCTGAAAGACCCAGCCACGTTTCATCTTCAATGCCCTTGCTGATGGAAGGAGGTTTTCACTCAAAATCTCACGATACATGGCCCCATTCATTCTTTCCTTTACACGGATCAGTCGTCCTGGTCCCTTTGCAGGAAAACAGCCCCAAAGCATGATGTTTCCACCCCCATGCTTCACAGTAGGTATGGTGTTCTTTGGATGCAACTCAGCATTCTTTGTCCTCCAAACACGACAATTTGAGTTTACCAAAAAGTTCTATTTTGGTTTCATCTGACCATATGACATTCTCCCAATCCTCTTCTGGATCATCCAAATGCACTCTAGCAAACTTCAGACGGGCCTGGACATGTACTGGCTTAAGCAGGGGGACACGTCTGGCACTGCAGGATTTGAGTCCCTGGCGGCGTAGTGTGTTACTGATGGTAGGCTTTGTTACTTTGGTCCCAGCTCTCTGCAGGTCATTCACTAGGTCCCCCCGTGTGGTTCTGGGATTTTTGCTCACCGTTCTTGTGATCATTTTGACCCCACGGGGTGAGATCTTGCGTGGAGCCCCAGATCGAGGGAGATTATCAGTGGTCTTGTATGTCTTCCATTTCCTAATAATTGCTCCCACAGTTGATCTCTTCAAACCAAGCTGCTTACCTTTTGCAGATTCAGTCTTCCCAGCCTGGTGCAGGTCTACAATTTTGTTTCTGGTGTCCTTTGACAGCTCTTTGGTCTTGGCCATAGTGGAGTTTGGAGTGTGACTGTTTGAGGTTGTGGACAGGTGTCTTTTATACTGATAACAAGTTCAAACAGGTGCCATTAATACAGGTAACGAGTGGAGGACAGAGGAGCCTCTTAAAGAAGAAGTTACAGGTCTGTGAGAGCCAGAAATCTTGCTTGTTTGTAGGTGACCAAATACTTATTTTCCACCATAATTTGCAAATAAATTCATTAAAAATCCTACAATGTGATTTTCTGGATTTTTTTTTCCTCATTTTGTCTGTCATAGTTGACGTGTACCTATGATGAAAATTACAGGCCTCTATCATCTTTTTAAGTGGGAGAACTTGCACAATTGGTGGCTGACTAAATACTTTTTTTCCCCACTGTATAGTTCTGTCAGTAAGCCTATTTTGCAGTTTGCATTTATTGAGAATATTTTTCAGTCTACCCAAAAGACGCCGGTTATCATTAGCATCGCTAACTGGCTACATACGGACTCAGACAAATGAGCGCCCTAAACAGACAGGGGCAATATTGCTGGAAATTAATTGGCAGATAATGTGTTGCGTTTGGCTTTTTAAGCCAATAGTGGCTAAACAGGGGTGGGATAATGTAAATGTGGCTGGGAGCTTTATGTTTATGACAGTTTGCGATGGAACACAGGGAAAAAAGCATGTACTTTCAGAATTGATTGGTGTGCTACTCATAGGTGGGCTGGTAGCTACTGGTACCTCACGATTCGACCTGTTGGAGACCCCTGATGTAGAGATTATCCAGACTCCAGAGCAATATATACAGATCTAGGGTTTACTACCATCTGAGCGATGCCTCTGTTGGTGAGGATGTAGCGTGCATGGATCAGCCCGTAGAGCATCTCTGCTGCCTGCTCTATCAGGTCACTCTGGTTGGGGTTGTCCTCCAGCTCTTCATCTGAATGAGATAGACATGGCAGTGAGGCTTTCAGATCAACACACAAGGTACACAGAAGTCTATAGTGACATGGTGCATGAATACAACACTGGGAGGAGCATTATAGCGTGTGCAGGCCTTTCCTTTCTTTATACACACATAAGAAGTGAGGCTTTCAGGTAGACGACAGCCTATAGATGCACTGAGTCAAAGTATGCTAGTATGTGGTCACAGCTTGGTGAACATTTCCTGGTCTGTTTCCTGCATAACGTTCCATGCCTATTATGTTGATTTTACGATGCACAGTAAAACAGTGTACTTGGTACTTTTGGAAAAGCAGTTACATTTACATTTACATTTTAGTCATTTAGCAGACGCTCTTATCCAGAGCGACTTACACAGTTACAAATGGAACTGATACATTTAGCCAATAGGAAATCTCAAATGTGTCAAGCTTGTTCTGGTGGTTTTAAAATGTACACTGTGTCCTTGGGTCTTTTGAAAGGCACTTATAAATACAAACAGATCTGATAAATTTGCCTATAGGAAGTGTCAATGTGAAGTCATGTCAGACAGTGTAGTGATGAGCTCACCTGGTTCCAGGTCCAGGATCATGTCAAGGGCCTGGCGGTAGTGAGGCACCTGTTCATTGAGCCCTGTCAGGTTAAACTTGTCCTGAATGTAGTCCTCATCAACCTGATACAGTGGAATGGATCAACATGGTTAGTAGCTTTCAGCTGCCAAACACAGTCTACTACTCTTTATATGAATAGGCTATTGTTGGTCAATTGCATAACAGGTTAAAGGGATTACTTCAGGATTGGCAATTAAGGCAAGCAGAAGAGTTAAAGGTAGAATTAAGCAATGTAGCTTATGCATACACTGTTTTGGAATATCTGAAGCTACCACCACGAGATAATACGTTTGTCACAGTTACACACTATGGGACCAAAACAAAACCACCCCATGACTTTAATGACTAATGTTGGGTCCTCTTTTACATGGAATGCTCCATCTGTGTTTAGGGTATATTTGGCTGGTAGCTGTAACAGTTCATTCTGTATTTCAAACAAACAACTAGCTTCACAAACAGTTGGCTAAGTCACAGCAATTGTCTTTCCCCCGTCTGTCCTTCTCGTTCTGTGATGTTCTGACATAACTAGCTAGCTACTCACCTCACAAAAGAACTCATTTCCCCTCAGGCCACAGAACCAGGAGATCCAGGACACCTCCTCCGAGCTGCTCATCCTCTGAACAAGTGGGGGGTGATGGTGCAAAGGCATGCAAAAATTACATGCATTTCCTCTGTAGCTCAGCTGGTAGAGCACGGCGCTTGTAACGCCAAGGTAGTGGGTTCGATCCCCGGGACCACCCATACACAAAAATGTATGCACGTATGACTGTAAGTCGCTTTGGATAAAAGCGTCTGCTAAATGGCATATTATAGTATAATAAAGTTAGTTAGTGGTGTATCCCATTCTTGTCCAGGGACCTGAAGTATGTGTACACTGCAGGCTTTATTTCTGCCCCAGAGATGCTAGCTAGCTAATCTAATCATCCTGCTGTTAACCTTAGTCTTTATTAGTCAAATGATGCATAAAGAAATCTAGCTAGCTATCGTTAGCTACATAGATAACGCTAGCTAGTTAACCCCGTGTTTGCTAGCTAGCTACGTCGTTTGTTTAATAACGTTAGCTAGCTAACGCTACTTTCCCACACGCCTGAAATCCATACTGATTTGAAACTAAACAATTAATTTAGTCCTGGGTAAAACCAAATGTTTTGTGTCAGCACACGTTTACTCACCCTCTTCTGTGTTAGCTAGATATATCTACCGGTAGCTACTTTGCTAACTAGCTAGCACCTTAGCTAACTGTTGTAAACAAGAATACTACATCCGGTGTAATTTCCGGCTTCTCCGACCTGTGTTGATTAACAGTTTGCTGTTCCAGTCAAACGGCCGAGTATAAGTTCGAGTCCGCTCCAGAAGCCAATGCGCTGGGAAAGTATGAAGACTTCCACATCAACTTTTTGAATGGTCTTCTTCGAGGAGATGAATCCACCCCAGAGAGGAAGAGAAGAAGCGAGAGGTTTCTCTCTCGCCAAAATCTGTCTAAAATAAGCCCAATGCGTTTCTATAGGCTTCTTTTGGACCTACACTTGTCGCCTACCTTCCCGCCTTTGGGACAACGACTCCCATTGTTAGGGAGGAGACATGAGCATCTCGTCATTATATACCGATCTCTGTCCACGCAGATGTGCTGACAAAATGAGTGTCAAAAACAGATAATTTTAAATCAAGTCTTTCATTAGTCTCATGTCAAAGTTGAGTCTTGAGGCTCCGATTCCATGTCAAGTTATTTTATTTTCTACCAAATCGAGTCTCAAAACATCAAATTTGTGGCCGTGTTCAAGAGCATAAAAACCGTGACGTATCATTGGTAAATTGTGACTAACTGACTGATCTACAAATAATAATGAGTTGTTATTTATGTTGCAAGGTGATTTGTAGATCAGTCAGTCGGCAGTAACCTGACAGCTGCAGTATCGAAAAAGCCCTGTGACCAGTAGGATGTTAGCATGTAAATGTTGGTGGGGCAAACTCCCCCCAATTTTTTTGGGGTTGCATGCCAGCAAAGCCACTACCATCTCTCCAGAGTTGTACTTCATCATTTATTTCCTTATATAGCCACGGGAATGGTCCTGGAGCACCCCTGATAAATTGAAATAAATTTGCCAAAATTATAGAATTACTGCCGTCTGTTCAGAAATCAATTTAATAATTCAGAATATTACACCAGGAGTAGGCCTATAATTTAGCCACAGAGGATCAATAGCTTTTCTTTTTTTATATATAGCCTAGCTGTGGATTGTGTGTAGCCCAATCACAAGGAATTGCCTATCAGTGAACAGGATTCAGCCAAAACAAGCCTTTTGCAATATTTCAAATACAATCGTGGGATAGCACAGGTTGGAAAGCAAGTGGCTCCTGCTGAAACAAAAATACTTATCTGTCTGTAGGCTACGAAAATATTTTACCAACTTCCAAATAGGCCTATTGAGCGAACAGCATTGTTTTTTACAAACTAAAACGAGAGAAATAGGATTTTGCACGTGCGCATCGGCCATCGCGGGTGAGTGAGCTGCACATCATTTGGTGAGTCATTGAAAATGCTAAGTTTTTTAGGACTATAATTTCCTCCTCATATTGTACAATGTGTGTCTCCTCGTTTTTAATAATTTCACATTCTCCGTTTGTCAGTGTCGAAGTAGCTTGACATTTCAATCATTTATGCGGTATTAAAAAATATTCTGCTAAAGTCTCAAGTCATGTAAAATGACATAGAATTGCATGAAATGCGTTTATAAATGACCCAATTTTTCCCGGACCCTAGGCTACAAAAGAAATTCTGCAAGCGCCTCTACTCTACTGCTTTAGTCTAGACCACTACGCAAATGCGATGATATGCATGCAATGCTTTATTATACAGGTGATTTTTTTGGTACCTCAGGTCACCCTGCTATCGCGCTCACTTTTTGTTCCGGCACCTCCCGATTTACAAATTAAGCACTGCCTGTGACTGGCCACTGTTGGCATTTTTCACTGCAGTTTCACAGATAATCAACAATGAGTGAGGATGGAGATTCATGGTCTTTACAGCTAATACAAATCACCACGGTAACTCAACATAAATAATAATAATAATGCATAAAATGGTGCATTAAACTTAAACACCCAAAGCTGTTATTTGATTCAGTCATTTTATCAGAAATGCTGACAATTGATAGACTGTTAAGCATATTCAATCAAGAGCTTGATATGAGGTGCTGCAGCTGCACACACATTTTCCACCAACAAATGGACTAGCCTATGGATCAATCAAACCTTTCTTTATTCTTTACAATGAAACTTGTATAAACCACTTCATTTTACATTCAGTTTTTATTGGATCCCATAATGCAATTGCATTCAGGGCAGATCTGAAAAAGTCTTGCGTTGCGGTGGTCCACTCTCTTTGGCCTCCTGGTCTTTCCCCTTCTCCTCAAACATCAAGATCCTTCGGCAGAGAAAAATAAACAAACACATATTATTACACACGTCATGTACAGTGGGGAAAAAAAGTATTTAGTCAGCCACCAATTGTGCATGTTCTCCCACTTAAAAAGATGAGAGGCCTGTAATTTTCATCATAGGTACACGTCAACTATGACAGACAAATTGAGAATTTTTTTTCCAGAAAATCACATTGTAGGATTTTTTATGAATTTATTTGCAAATTATGGTGGAAAATAAGTATTTGGTCACCTACAAACAAGCAAGATTTCTGGCTCTCACAGACCTGTAACTTCTTCTTTAAGAGGCTCCTCTGTCCTCCACTCGTTACCTGTATTAATGGCACCTGTTTGAACTTGTTATCAGTATAAAAGACACCTGTCCACAACCTCAAACAGTCACACTCCAAACTCCACTATGGCCAAGACCAAAGAGCTGTCAAAGGACACCAGAAACAAAATTGTAGACCTGCACCAGGCTGGGAAGACTGAATCTGCAATAGGTAAGCAGCTTGGTTTGAAGAAATCAACTGTGGGAGCAATTATTAGGAAATGGAAGACATACAAGACCACTGATAATCTCCCTCGATCTGGGGCTCCACGCAAGATCTCACCCCGTGGGATCAAAATGATCACAAGAACGGTGAGCAAAAATCCCAGAACCACACGGGGGGACCAAGTGAATGACCTGCAGAGAGCTGGGACCAAAGTAACAAAGCCTACCATCAGTAACACACTACGCCGCCAGGGACTCAAATCCTGCAGTGCCAGACGTGTCCCCCTGCTTAAGCCAGTACATGTCCAGGCCCGTCTGAAGTTTGCTAGAGTGCATTTGGATGATCCAGAAGAGGATTGGGAGAATGTCATATGGTCAGATGAAACCAAAATAGAACTTTTTGGTAAAAACTAAACTCGTCGTGTTTGGAGGACGGAGAATGCTGAGTTGCATCCAAAGAACACCATACCTACTGTGAAGCATGGGGGTGGAAACATCATGCTTTGGAGCTGTTTTTCTGCAAAGGGACCAGGACGACTGATCCGTGTAAAGGAAAGAATGAATGGGGCCATGTATCGTGAGATTTTGAGTGAAAACCTCCTTCCATCAGCAAAGGCATTGAAGATGAAACGTGGCTGGGTCTTTCAGCATGACAGTGATCCCAAACACACCGCCTGGGCAACGAAGGAGTGGCTTCGTAAGAAGCATTTCAAGGTCCTGGAGTGGCCTAGCCAGTCTCCAGATCTCAACCCCATAGAAAATCTTTGGAGGGAGTTGAAAGTCCGTGTTGCCCAGCGACAGCCCCAAAACATCACTGCTCTAGAGGAGATCTGCATGGAGGAATGGGCCAAAATACCAGCAACAGTGTGTGAAAACCTTGTGAAGACTTACAGAAAACGTTTGACCTGTGTCATTGCCAACAAAGGGTATATAACAAAGTATTGAGAAACTTTTGTTATTGACCAAATACTTATTTTCCACCATAATTAGCAAATAAATTCATTAAAAATCCTTCAATGTGATTTTCTGGAATTTCTTTCCTCATTTTGTCTGTCATAGTTGACGTGTACCTATGATGAAAATTACAGGCCTCTCTCATCTTTTTAAGTGGGAGAACTTGCACAATTGGTGGCTGACTAAATACTTTTTTCCCCCACTGTAGCAACGAGACATATAGCCTTAAAGGAAATACGGTGGATTACAAAAGTTCAGAATCGTATTCAGAAGGTCTAATGTAATGCCGTCATTAATGTCGTTTCATTTTTCTTCTAACTTACAGTCGGAGTATGGAATTCCTCTTCCCTAGCATCATATTGAGAAAGTCTGTGTAACAGAACGTGTCTCGTGCAGTGCCGCCAACAACATCTGCCATCATCTTTTTCAGCTCCAAGTGAGTCTTGGCCACCCCCAGCTTCTCTAACATGCGCTTTAGCCCCATCATGTCTGTGACACAGAGATAGATAGAGAGAGAGAGAGAGGCCATGACAAAGATGGTTCACATGGATGGCTCAATGTTGTCCTCTTGATTAGCCTAATCTTGTTATTCATCAGGATTGTTGTAAAACAATTGTTTTTACCGATGTCTCCTTGGTCATTGAGATCAAATTCCATGTATTTGTCTGTAAAACAATACAGAACACATGAAACATATTATTTCATTGTTGATTCATTCATCAAGGTAACTGATAACTGTCTGATCAATGTGAAATTAAAATACTTGAAAATCTCACTTTTAAACATTTCCAGTTTTGAGCTGAGGTCCTCCTCCTCTGCATATTTAGGATCTGTGAGAAAAACCTTCAGAATAGAATATCACAAGACAGATGTTGAGATCTGATAGTTGCTAATAATACTATAGCTAGATAATATTGCCATAATAACAGATAAAGAACAGACCTCATTGATGGAGTTCAGTTTCTCATCCTGTAGAGACTTGAGGAATCCAAATGCTTTCCCTCCTGAAATGATATGAGATAAACTCAGAAATGTTATTACTCACTTCCTTATTGGTGATCTACTGGATCCCCCCCCCCCCCACACACACACACACACACATTCACAGGATTTATCAAAAGCTAACAGATTCGATTTAATTGATTGATTTAACTAGAACACATTATTTCTTCAATAAATTGTTTATAAAATCTGTGGAGTGCATATCGACAGACAGAAAGACGGACGGACGGACAGACTGACAGAAGGACAGACAGACAGACAGAGATAACAGAGAGACAGACTTACCTTGCAAATGTTTGTCCATGTCAATCTGCTGTTATTTGGTGGAGAAGAGAGTAGTGAAATGGACCAGGGGTTGCTGAGCGTTGTGTTATGAAGACTGAAAGTGTCAAGTATGTGTCTGTACATTGTGACAGAAGAGGAAGTTTGGGGAGTTAAAGTTAGAGTGTGGTCATTTGCTAAGTTCCCCTCTCACATCCACTCACAGCAGTGAGAGAGTGTATGGAGGGGAAAAGGAACTAGGGGGTTTGCATTTAAAATACACTAGACTAGGCTACCACATAAACACTGCACACTACATCATTGTCTACATATAAAAACAAATGTTTTATTAAAGTGCTTTCATCTACTTTGAGCAAAATGTTTAATCAATTTTCATGTATACATTTGTAACTTATGGCTCAGGCACAAGGAAGGAATGATTCTAATGAAATGTTATGTTACAGTACTGTTATGCTAAGTATTGTATAACTAATTGGATAAATGTGGAAATTAAAGTGAATTAATCTTAAGCAAATAACTTGTTCTCTGGCCTTGACACTAGATGGCACTGTTAAGCATATAATCTTCAAAACAACATGCTTTTTATGTGGGAAGTCAATAAATGTTTCCCAGCAAATGTGTATTCATGAAGAATATAGAAACTAGGCCATGGAGAACTGAGATCGGGGTCTGAGATGAGAGACTAAGAGACTTCACACTCACATGGATAATGGCACTGTTTCAGTCACACGGGTTATCAATACTTCTGTTGAAAATCATAACACAGTTTGCTGGTGAGTAGTTGTTCTTGCTGAAATTACACTTTATTTAATTGTCTGATAGTGATTTTTAGAGCATACTGCTCTAAAAATTTCAAAAATTTAATAATGCTAATTTGATCTATTTTTTTTCTCCTAATTTCCCAGGAGCTGAGTCTTGTTCTCATGTAGAGACGACACAGTTCATCACAGCTACTCAGAAAGAGGTAGCTGTCCTCCCCTGTTTCACATCAACCCGCCTAGATTTAGCAACCAGAGTAAAATGGACAAAACTTTCACCTAAACCTGAGGACATCTTGGTGTGGCCTGATGATCCATCTGTGGCCCATAAGTCAGAACGTGTGGCCTTCGAGTCGGGAGTGGATGTTGTGGTGGCTGGAAACCTGTCCCTGTCTCTAAGAGATGTCAGGAAATCTGACGAAGGGCTTTACAGCTGCAAGGTCTGGCAGGGATGGAGTTGTGTCATGGTGAAAAACATCACTCTAAAAGTGAAAGGTAAAATTATATATTCCCTTTCTCTCTATGTAAGTGTCAAATAGAAAAAGAGTCAAACTTGTTTGAGTAAGCCTCTCTTCTCTTTTCCAAAGAATGCAAAATCCTACATTCAGTTATGGCAGCACCCAACAGAATAGCTACCCTGCCTTGCATGTTGAACATGACAACAGGAATGCCCCAAATATCATCGGTGTCCTGGGGAGAGATCAAGGGAGACACTGAGACCCAAATACTTCAATACCCTACATATATCACCCACCAAACATCCCTAGGAAATAGGGTGAGCTTTGGAGGAAATCTCAGTTCAGGAGATGCATCTTTGGCTCTCTCCCTGGTGGAGTACAGTGACAGCCAATGGTACAGATGTAAGTTGCATATGGGACAAAATGAACGCTGCTTTGAGGTCAAGCTACAGGTTAAAGGTGAGTATTTGCTAGTACATTCTTATTCAGAATATACAGTGCATTCGGAAGGTATTCAGACCCCTTGACTTTTTCCACATTTTGTTACGTTACAGCCTTATTCTAAAAATGATCAAATTGTTTTTTCCCCTCATCAATCTACACACAATACCCCATAATGACAAAGCGAAAACAGGTTTTTAGAAATTTTTGCAAATTTATAAAAAATATAAAACAGAAATACCTTATTTACATATAGTACCAGTCTGAAGTTTGGACACACCTACTCATTCAAGGGTTTTCCTTTATTTTTAATATTTTCTACATTGTAGAATAATAGTGAAGACATCAGAACTATCAAATAACACATATGGAATCATGTAGTAACATAAAAATTGTTAAACAAATTGGCATTCTCTCAACCAGCTTCACCTGGAATGCTTTTCCAACAGTCTTGAAGGAGTTCCCACATATGCTGAGCACTTGTTGGCTGCTTTTCCTTCACTCTGTGGTCCGACTCATCCCAAACCATCTCAAATGGGTTGAGGTCAGGGTATTGTGGAGGCCAGGTCATCTGATGCAGCACTCCATCACTCTCCTTCTTGGTAAAATAGCCCTTACACAGCCTGGAGGTGTGTTGGGTCATTGTCCTGTTGAAAAACAAATGATAGTCCCACTAAGCACAAACCAGATGGGATGGCGTATCGCTGCAGAATGCTGTGGTAGCCACGCTGGTTAAGTGTGCCTTGAATTCTAAATAAATCACTGACAGTGTCACCAGCAAAGCACCCTCAAACCATCACACATCCTCCTCCATGCTTCACGGTGGGAAATACACATGCGGAAATCATCCGATCACCTACTCTGCGTCTCACAAAGACACGGCAGTTGGAACCAAAAATCTCCAATTTGGACTCATCAGACCAAAGGGCAGATTTCCACCAGTCTAATGTCCATTGCTCGTGTTTCTTCGCTCAAGCAAGTCTCTTCTTATTATTGGTGTCCTTTAGTAGTGGTTTCTTTGCAGCAATTTGACCATGAAGGCCTGATTCAAGCAGTCTCCTCTGAACAGTTGATGTTGAGATGTGTCTGTTATTTGAACTCTGTGAAGCATTTATTTGGGCTGCAACTTCTGAGGCTGGTAACTCTAATGAACTTATCCTATGCAGCAGAGGTAACTCTGGGTCTTCCTTTCCTGTGGCGGTCATCATGAGAGCCAGTTTCATCACAGCGCTTGATGGTTTTTGAGACTGCACTTAAAGAAACTTTAAAGGTTTTGACATTTTCCTGATTGACTGACCTTCATGTCTTAAAGTAATGATGGACTGTCGTTTCTCTTTGCTTATTTGAGCTGTTCTTGCCATAATATGGACTTGATCTTTTACCAAATACGGCTATCTTCTGTATACCACCCCTACCTTGTCACAACACAACTGATTGGCTCAAACGCATTAAGAAGGAAATAAATTCCACAAATTAACTTTCAACAAGGCACACCTGTTAATTCAAATGCATTCCAGGTGACTACCCCATGAAGCTGGTTGAGAGAATGCCAAGAGTGTGAAAGCTGTCGTCAAGGCAAAGGGTGGCTACTTTGAAGAGTCTCAAATATAAAATATATTTTGTCTGCAGCATTGAAGGTCCCCGAGAACACAGTGGCCTCCATCATTCTTAAATGGAAGAAGTTTGGAACCACCAAGACTCTTCCTAGAGCTGGCCGTCCGGCCAAACTGAGCAATCGGGGGGGAATGGCCTTGGTCAGGGAGGTGACCAAGAACCCGATGGTCACTCTGACAGAGCTCCAGAATTCCTCTGTGGAGATGGGAGAACCTTCCAGAAGGACAACCATCTCTGCAGCACTCCACCAATCAGGCCTTTATGGAAGAGTGGCCAGACGGAAGCCAGTCCTCAGTAAAAGGCACATGACAGCCCGCTTGGAGTTTGCCAATAGGCACCTAAAGACTCTCAGACCATGAGAAACAAGATTCTCTGGTCTGATGAAACCAAGATGGAACTCTTTTGCCTGAATGCCAAGCGTCACGTCTGGAGGAAACCTGCCACCATCCCTACGGTGAAGCATGGTGGAGGCAGCATCACGCTGTGGGGATGTTTTTCAGTGGCAGGGACTGGGAGACTAGGCAGGATCGAGGTAAAGATGAACGGAGCAAAGTATAGAGAGTTAATCTTGATGAAAACCTGCTCCAGAGCGCTCAGGACTTCAGACTGGGGCGAAGGTTCACCTTCCAACAGGACAATGACCCAGGGCACACAGCCAAGACAACGCAGGAATGGCTTCGGGACAAGTCTCTGAATGTCCTTGAGTGGCCCAGCCAGAGCCCGGACTTGAACCCAATCGAACTTCTCTGTAGAGACCTGAAAATAGCTGTGCAGCGACGCTCCCCATCCAACCTGACAGAGCTTGAGAGGATCTGCAGAGAAGAATGGGAGAAACTCCCCAAATACAGGTGTGTCAAGCTTGTAGCGTCATACCCAAGAAGACTCGAGGCTATAATCGCTGCCAAGGGTGCTTCAACAAAGTACTGAGTAAATGGTCTGAATACTGTAAATGTGATAGTTCAGTTTTGTATGTTTAATACATTTGCAAGTATTTCTAACCTGTTTTTGCTTTGTCATTATGGGATATTGTGTGTAGATTGATGAGGAAAAAAACAATTTTAATCAATTTTAGAATAAGGCTGTTACATAACAAAATGTTGAAAAAGACAATTGGTCTGAATACTTTCCGAATGCACTGTATCTATATTTGTCAACCATTGCATTAGCAATTTGATGTTCTATAATTATCATGTTCTACCATTGAAACAGAACAGGAAGAGGAGATTTCCACCACAACTGAACCAGCAAACCGTGGTATGTGTACAATGTTTTTATCTTATTTGTGTATTTTATTTATTTAAAATAATAATTATACTGAAAATATTTGTGGACATATTTATCACCACTGAGTTCAGAGGACTAGAGACACACGGCAGGGGCTTTACTCTCAGTTCAATCAAATGAGACCATGAATGACTGTCATCATATGATACTGATGCTCTGCTCAGCAGTTACAGCCAGTCAGAGTCCAGAAAGAGTTGTGACAGCTGCAGTTCGAACTATAGTGGCTTCATCCATGTGTGTGATCTTCATAATGGCTCTTACACTGGGAGTGATCATTTACCTCAGACGCCGCAGACACTCCGGTATGTATGGACACTACTCTGGTTAATATTGACCTGGTAAAGTAAGGCAGACACTCAGGTATGTGTGGACACTACTCTGGTTAATATTGACCTGGTAAAGTAAGGCTACATGTTTTGAAATACACATTCCAATACACAGTATTATTGTATTGTGGATCTGCCTCTCTCTCTTTCTCAGATGAAGATCACTGGCATACTTATGAAGATGTACAAGACTCAGGTAAGCCCGTTGATTATGTCCCATCCTGAGTATGCTCAGAGTGCTCCTCGTCCACCTCTGTAGTGGAAAAATTACTCTATTGTCATACTTGAGTAAAAGTAAAGATACCTTAATAGAAAATGACTCAAGTAAAAGTGAAAGTCACCCAGTAAAATACTACTTGAGTAAAGGTCTAAAAGTATTTGTTTTTAAATATATTTAAGTATCAAAAGTAAATGGAATTGCTCAAATGTACTTAAGTAGTAAAAGTAAAAGTTTAAACCATTTCAAATTCCTTATATTAAGCAATTGACCTGGTAAAGGCTACATGTTTTGAATTATAAATTATATATTTTTTGACGGATAGCCAGGGGCACACTCCAACAATTTACAAATGAAGTATTTGTGTTTAGTGAGTCGGCCAGATCAGAGGCAGTAGGGATGACCAGGGATGTTCTCTTGATAAGTGTGTGAACTGGACCATTTTCCTGTCAAAATGTAGTGAGTACTTTTGGGTGTCAAGGAAAGTGTATGCAGTAAAAAGTACAATATTTTCTTTAGGAATGTAGTGAAGTAAAAGTTGGCAAAAATCTAAATAGTAAAGTACAGATTCCCCAAAAAACTACTTAAGTAGTACTTTAAAGTATTTTTACTTAAGTACTTTACACCATTGGTCCTTCACCGCAGAGTGAAGGAAAAGCAGCCAACAAGTGCTCAGCATATGTGGGAACTCCTTCAAGACTGTTGGAAAAGCATTCCAGGTGAAGCTGGTTGAGAGAATGCCAAGAGTGTGCAAAGCTGTCATCAAGGCAAAGGATCTCAAATACAAAATATATTTTGATTTGTTTAACACTTTTTTGGTTACTACATGATTCCATATGTGTTATTTTATAGTTTTGATGTCTTCACTATTATTCTACAATGTAGAAAATAGTAAAAATAAAGAAAAACCCTTGAATGAGTAGGTGTGTCCAAACTTTTGACTGGTACTGTATATATATTTTAGTTTTTAACCTGGGCCTAGATTCATTCCGGACCGCAGTAGATCCACGTTATAGCGCGATTGACATTTAAAGGTAATGTTACCTGGTTAGCGGAGATGGCACTCACGGTAAACTGGATATGTCCGCTTAATCGGAAATTACCTTTAAACATCAAGCGCGCTAAAACACGGATCTTCCACGATCTGGTTTGAATCTAGCCTCTGGTCACTGTGTCTGTGAGTCCAGGTTAAATTGTTGTTTCTAATAACTTCAGTTCTGTAATCAATTAACATTTCATTCAAATGTATTTATTTATTTGTCTTTCTTTCAGTTCAATGCCAGTGAAAATAATCATCATCTTTCAACACACCATGTCTTACTTAACCATACTCAAAACACCTATAAATGCTTTTTTTTATGGTATTCACGCTTCTTATCTTTCAACCCCTGGTATAGCCTACATAGTATTACACAATATCAATCTTAGTTGTGAAATTGTCAAATGGATGAGGTGACCAATTGTATTTAGCTTGATTTGATTGAACATACTCCTTTATTTGTGACCTCCATGGTGGCACAACTTGTGTTGATGCTTTTGTACACCACAGGATGTTTGTATTCTTGCATTTAGCTTGATTTGATTGGACATATTCCTTCATTTGTGACCTCCATGGTGGCACAACTTGTGTTGATGCTTTTGTACACCACAGGATGTTTGTATTCTTGCATTTAGCTTGATTTGATTGGACATATTCCTTCATTTGTGACCTCCATGGTGGCACAACTTGTGTTGATGCTTTTGTACACCACAGGATGTTTGTATTCTTGCATTTAGCTTGATTTGATTGGACATATTCCTTCATTTGTGACCTCCATGGTGGTACAACTTGTGTTGATGCTTTTGTACACCACAGGATGTGTGGTTGGGAGCTGTTCCAGACAGAGACATGCTGTTCTGCCGTTTTACTTGTATTGCTAATGCTCACACACTGCCATCCTGTATTAAATAAATACACATCTGTTCTGCTAAATGGCATATTATATTATTCATTCTCATCTAGTTTGTCTCTTGTCACAGTCCCATACATCTACCCAGTTGTACAGTGCTGAAGAGAAGTTACCAGGTTTCTTAATGCATAACAGAGGAAGGACATTTACATTTACATTTACATTACATTTTAGTCATTTAGCAGACGCTCTTATCCAGAGCGACTTACAGGAGCAATTAGGGTTAAGTGCCTTGCTCAAGGGCACATTAACGTCATTTAGCAGACGCTCTTAGCCAGAGCGACTCGCAAATTGGTGCGTTCACCCTATAGCCAGTGGGATAACCACTTTACAATTTGGGGGGGGGGGGGGGGGGGGTTAGAAGGAACACTTTATCCTATCCCAGGTATTCCTTAAAGAGGTGGGGTTTCAAATGTCTCCGGAAGGTGGTGAGTGACTCCGCTGTCCTGGCGTCGTGAGGGAGCTTGTTCCACCATTGGGGTGCCAGAGCAGCGAACAGTTTTGACTGGGCTGAGCGGGAGCTATGCTTCCGCAGAGGAAGGGGAGCCAGCAGGCCAGAGGTGGATGAATGCAATGCCCTCGTTTGGGTGTAGGGACTGATCAGAGCCTGAAGGTACAGAGGTGCCGTTCCCCTCACTGCTCCATAGGCAAGCACCATGGTCTTGTAGCGGATGCGAGCTTCAACTGGAAGCCAGTGGAGTGTGCGGAGGAGGGGGGTGACGTGAGAGAACTTGGGAAGGTTGAACACCAGACGGGCTGCGGCATTCTGGATGAGTTGTAGGGGTTTAATGGCACAGGCAGGGAGGCCAGCCAACAGCGAGTTGCAGTAGTCCAGACGGGAGATGACAAGTGCCTGGATTAGGACCTGTGCCGCTTCCTGTGTAAGGCAGGGTCGTACTCTCCGAATGTTGTAGAGCATGAACCTGCAGGAGCGGGTCACCGCCTTGATGTTGGCGGAGAACGACAGGGTGTTGTCCAGGGTCACGCCTAGGCTCTTCGCACTCTGGGAGGAGGACACAGCGGAGTTGTCAACCGTGATGGCGAGATCATGGAACGGGCAGTCCTTCCCCGGGAGGAAGAGCAGCTCCGTCTTGCCAGGGTTCAGCTTGAGGTGGTGATCCGTCATCCATACTGATATGTCTGCCAGACATGCAGAGATGCGATTCGCCACCTGGTTATCAGAAGGGGGAAAGGAGAAGATTAGTTGTGTATCGTCAGCGTAGCAATGATAGGAAAGGCCATGTGAGGATATGACAGAGCCAAGTGACTTGGTGTATAGGGAGAAAAGGAGAGGGCCTAGAACTGAGCCCTGGGGGACACCAGTGGTGAGAGCACGTGGTGCGGAGACAGCTTCTCGCCACGCCACTTGGTAGGAGCGACCGGTCAGGTAGGACGCAATCCAGGAGTGAGCCGCGCCGGAGATGCCCAGCTCGGAGAGGGTGGAGAGGAGGATCTGATAGTTCACAGTATCAAAGGCAGCAGACAGGTCTAGAAGGACAAGAGCAGAGGAGAGAGAGTTAGCTTTAGCAGTGCGGAGAGTCTGTGGGATGTGAAAGTGGGATGTGAAAGGACCCATGTGGGATGTGAAAGTCAGCAGAGTGATTTGTAGTACAGGAGGTGGGGTGACTTAGTCATCAACCCCCACACTGAGGAGGCATACTGAATGTGTTCCTGTAAACAACTTAAGTCGTTTTTATTATAAAAAATAAAATATCAGTATGTTGAAATGATTAATGTGGTAACTGGTGATATTCTACAGAGGTTATTTCTTTTTATGAATTTATTTGCACAATAAAAACACTTCATATTTCAGTTTACATTTATTATATTTAGAAATATACACTGCTCAAAAAAATTAAGGGAACACTTAAACAACACATCCTAGATCTGAATGAATGAAATAATCTTATTAAATACTTTTTTCTTTACATAGTTGAATGTGCTGACAACAAAATCACACAAAAATTATCAATGGAAATAAAATGTATCAACCCATGGAGGTCTGGATTTGGAGTCACCCTCAAAATTAAAGTGGAAAACCACACTACAGGCTGATCCAACTTTTGATGTAATGTCCTTAAAACAAGTCAAAATGAGGCTCAGTAGTGTGTGTGGCCTCCACATGCCTGTATGACCTCCCTACAACGCCTGGGCATGCTCCTGATGAGGTGGCGGATGGTCTCCTGAGGGATCTCCTCCCAGACCTGGACTAAAGCATCCGCCAACTCCTGGACAGTCTGTGGTGCAACGGGGTGTTGATGGATGGAGCGAGACATGATGTCCCAGATGTGCTCAATTGGATTCAGGTCTGGGGAACGGGCGGGCCAGTCCATAGCATCAATGCCTTCCTCTTGCAGGAACTGCTGACACACTCCAGCCACATGAGGTCTAGCATTGTCTTGCATTAGGAGGAACCCAGGGCCAACCGCACCAGCATATGGTCTCACAAGGGGTCTGAGGATCTCATCTCGGAACCTAATGGCAGTCAGGCTACCTCTGGCGAGCACATGGAGGGCTGTGCGGCCCCCCAAAGAAATGCCACCCCACACCATGACTGACCTACCGCCAAACCGGTCATGCTGGAGGATGTTGCAGGCAGCAGAACGTTCTCCACGGCGTCTCCAGACTCTGTCACATCTGTCACATGTGCTCAGTGTGAACCTGCTTTCATCTGTGAAGAGCACAGGGTGCCAGTGGCGAATTTGCCAATCTTGGTGTTCTCTGCAAATGCCAAACGTCCTGCACGGTGTTGGGCTGTAAGCACAACCCCCACCTGTGGATGTCGGGCCCTCATACCACCCTCATGGAGTCTGTTTCTGACCATTTGAGCAGACACATGCACATTTGTGGCCTGCTGGAGGTCATTTTGCAGGGCTCTGGCAGTGCTCCGCCTGCTCCTCCTTGCACAAAGGCGGAGGTAGCGGTCCTGCTGCTGGGTTGTTGCCCTCCTACGGCCTCCTCCACGTCTCCTGATGTACTGGCCCGTCTCCTGTTAGCGCCTCCATGCTCTGGACACTACGCTGACAGACACAGCAAACCTTCTTGCCACAGCTCGCATTGATGTGCCATCCTGGATGAGCTGCACTACCTGAGCCACTTGTGTGGGTTGTAGACTCCGTCTCATGCTACCACTAGAGTGAAAGCACCGCCAGCATTCAAAAGTGACCAAAACATCAGCCAGGAAGCATAGGAACTGAGAAGTGGTCTGTGGTCACCACCTGCAGAACCACATCTTTATTGGGGGTGTCTTGCTAATTGCCTATAATTTCCACCTGTTGTCTATTCCATTTGCACAACAGTATGTGAAATGTATTGTCAATCAGTGTTGCTTCCTAAGTGGACAGTTTGATTTCACAGTAGTGTGATTGACTTGGAGTTGCATTGTGTTGTTTAAGTGTTCCCTTTATTTTTTTGAGCAGTGTAATAGAAGGAACCCCCCCCCCAAAAAAACCTGCATAGGCTTGATGTACTGGTGAAACTTAATGTGACAAAATATCAAGGGAAATCCAAACCACAAAACAATGTAAACAAAAACATAGTAAAAAGTACAAAAATTTGATTTAAAACTCAACTAATGGCCTAAAAATAGAGGACATGACAATACACTCAGTTCACAGCTTGCAGAAGATCATAAAAACTGTCGTTCGTTACTCCTGAAAGTTGTATTGCTTGAGGTAAATCTTGAATATCTTCATAGATATGAGTCTGCGAATAAAAAAATATGGAATGTGTAAAACCAGTTGAATTTAGTTCACCAACATGATAAAAGGGTTAAAAGACAAGACATTTAGACAAATTAGATGTCAAGTTATGGGTGTACTCAACTGGGCTTCACTTGTTAGTGAATTACATAGTTGTGTTTATTGAATGCTTACCATTCCAACAGGTGTCTGCTGTACTTCTCCTTCTGTAGGCAAAGGGGGACAAATGTCAGCTTTATTTCACATAAATGTAATTAGGATGGTATGTCTTTCCTTTTTACTGCTGGTCATTACTGTAGGCTTTTATCAAGGATGCAACATCAAAATTGCAGTTTTTTTGTAACACACACAATCTAACACACATGAACACATACTTACCGGCGGCACTTCCCTTGCCCTGCCTCTTCCAATACACGCCCCTTATTCCAACAGCACAGAGCAACAGCAGCAAAAGGGGGACTGACCATATCACCCCAGGTAGTACATGACCTATTTGCAAAGACGTACCAAGTCACAGAGACTGTATTACAACTCAATATCTTATCACAACATCACAGTAATGAAAGAATACAGCCTCAACACAGATCATGGCTATGCATTGTACCAAACTACTTTCAAAAGTCTTACCTCTCTGGATGGTCCACTCCTTCACAGCCATTTCAACCCCCTCTCTGAGCACGGTGCAGGCTATCTTCTCTGTGCCCTGGCGGTCAGGAAGGAAGAGTTTGGAGATGAGGGTGTTGTTGTGTCCTATAGGACCACTCTGCAACCCATCCTGGCCACTGTGAGTCCAGGTCAAATGGAAGTCTCTACCATCTTCCACACAGGTGAGTGAGCAGGTCAGGGTGAGATTGTTTCCGCCTGGGGTAGCATACTCTGCAGATACTGAGGACAAAGCAGTGGTGTACATTGTGCCGTTACCCTCATTTACTAAGTTTATTCATAGTGTAAGACACTTATTTATGTCTCAGTGATACAACCCATTGACACTCACCATCCAGAGTGTGTAGTAGGATTCTGTTCTGTTGCGAGCAGTTGTAGAGCCCAGAATGCAGTGTTTTCACATTGCTGATGACCAAAGACCCGTCTTGGCTGATGAGAGATGCAGGGAGGTGACCCTGAGTTCCAGCTGAGACATCACCTGACTGAGACAGACTGGACAGTGATCTTTGACCCAGAGTCCACTGGAATCTGCTGCCCACCTCGAGAGAAGAGTGGGTGACACAGGGAAGTGATACTGACTCACCCACTGCAACAAACACTTCCTCTATACCTCCTGAGAGAGAGAGAGAGAGAGAGAGAGAGAGAGAGAGAGAGAGAGAGAGAGAGAGAGAGAGAGAGAGAGAGAGAGAGAGAGAGAGAGAGAGAGAGAGAGAGGAGAGAGAGAGAGAGAGAGAGAGAGAGAGAGAGAGAGAGAGAGAGAGAGAGAGAGAGAGAGAGAGAGAGAGAGAGAGAGAGAGAGAGAGAGAGGAATTTGATTGCAATATACTACTGTGTTAACGCAAATATGCTGTAATAATACATAGTTACAAAAGTACCTGCAATTTCTATGGTATAGCTGAGGGACGTCTTCACAACCTTTCCTTCAATCAGTTGACACCGCCACTTCCTGTGATGGTCTGTCTTCTTGACACCTCGGATGATCAGTTTAGAGAGGCAAGCAGATGAACGTTCGGTTTGAAATCTCTCTCCCTGTAGCACTGTATTGGCTTCATTCAGCCAATTCAGCTGTATTTCACTATGGTTGCATTGTGGGACAAGGCCTGAGAATATATTCAGGTGACATTGGAGCTTGATATCCATCTCTGGTGCTATATTGGTGTCTGTTGCCAGAGTAACTAAAAAAATAAAAATAAAAACTATGGTGACAACACTCACTCAGAAATAGTGTGTATAAAAACTGACAATTTAGGTTGATCATAAATGGTAACATACTGTTGAGAAGGTGAAGAGAAACCCTTGAACTGGTGGCCCCATCTTCACAGGTGTAAACTCTTCCATCATCTATTTCAAGAGGTTGAATTTGTAGAGAGCAGTCATGTCCCACTTTCAGTCGACTGGCTCTTCCTGGCTTTGGACCCTTCACGTCCACCTTGCCTGATAGTACTAATTGGATAGGAAACCCATTTTCCTCCATACTCCAGGTAACAGAGGAGCAGGAATTGATGTAGGATGTGCCACATGGTAAATGCACACTGTCTCTAATTGAAGCAAACATTCTTGTAGGCCTATGGTCTTTTGAATAGAGTAAAAGCAAGTGTTACAACACTTCTCATAACAAAATCAATAGGGAATCAATAAATATTTGATGCAAAATATGTTTTAAAAAATCAGTCATGTTAAAGGAATCATATTTACCAGAGGACTGGAGTCCAAGTATTGCCTGTAAAAGCATGCAGAGACACAGTTTTAGGTACAGACACATCTCTCCGTCTTGTGATTTTCTTTATTGTCTCAATGTCCTTTTGACAGTATGTCATGTGTTACTGTTCAGGAAATGTCACTCATCTTTTCTTTCTTTCCCAACTTCTGTAAATAGCAGTAATCATGCCCTGGCATTTTTCTGCTGTTCCCTTTCCATTTAGTTCTATTTTAAATCCTCTATTTTATAGCCTAGCCTACTTCAAACACAAGACTGTATGAAGTTTATTTTGCTAAAAAATATATCAAGAAAGTGTATAAGTGCTTTGTGATAAATTAATGAACTGAGATAAACCATGCAGAAAATTATGGCATTTCCCACCGAATGGATGTTACAGTTGAAGTCGGAAGTTTACATACACCTTAGCCAAATACATTCAAACTCAGTTTTTCACAATTCCTTACATTTAATCCTAGTAAAATATTCCCTGTTTTAGGTCAGTTAGGATCACCACTTCATTTTAAGAATGTGAAATGTCAGAATAATAGTAGAGAGCATGATTTATTTCAGCTTTTATTTATTTCATCACATTCCCAGTGGGTCAGAAGTTTACATACACTCAATTAGTATTTGGTAGCATTGCCTTGAAATTGTTTAACTTGGGTCGAACGTTTCAATAAGTTGGGTGAATTTTGGCCCATTCCTCCTGACAGAGCTGGTGTAACTGAGTCAGGTTTGTAGGCCTCCTTGCTCGCACAGGCTTTTTCAGTTCTGCCCACACATTTTCTATAGGATTTAGGTCAGGGCTTTGTGATGGCCACTCCAATACCTTGACTTTGTTGTTCTTAAGACATTTTGCCACAAATTTGGAAGTATGCTTGGGGTCATTGTCCATTTGGAAGACCCAAGCTTTAACTTCCTGACTGATGTCTTAAGATGTTGCTTCAATATATCCACATAATTTTCCTTCCTCATGATGCCATCTATTTTGTGAAGTGCACCAGTCCCTCCTGCAGCAAAGCACCCCCACAGCATGATGCTGCCACCCCCGTGCTTCACGGTTAGGATGGTGTTCTTCGGCTTGCAAGGCACCTCCTTTTTCCTCCAAACATGGTCATTATGGCCAAAATGTTCTATTTTTGTTTCATCAGACCAGAGGACATTTCTCCAAAAAGTACGATCTTTGTCCCCATGTGCAGTGGCTTTTTTATGGTGGTTTTGGAGCAGTGGATTCTTCCTTGCTGAGCGGCCTTTCAGGTTATGTCGATATAGGACTTGTTTTACTGTGGATATAGATACTTTTGTACCTGTTTCCTCCAGCATCTTCACAAGGTCCTTTGCTGTTGTTCTGGGATTGATTTGCACTTTTCACACCAAAGTACGTTCATTTCTAGGAGACAGAACGCGTCTCCTTCCTGAGCGGTATGACAGCTGCGTGGTCCCATGGTGTTTATACTTGCATACTATTGTTTGTACAGACGAATATGGTACCTTCAGGCTTTGGAAATTGCTCCCAAGGATGAACCAGACTTGTTGAGGTCTACAAAAAATGTCTGATGACTTGGCTGATTTCTTTTGATGTCAAGCAAAGAGGCACTGCGTTTGAAGGTAGGCCTTGAAATACATCCACAGGTACACCTCCAATTGACTCAAATGATGTCAATTAGCCTATCAGAAGCTTATAAAGCCATGACATAATTTTCTGGAATTTTCCAAGCTGTTTAAAGGCACAGTCAATGTAGTGTATGTAAACTTCTGACCCACTGGAATTGTGATACAGTGAAATAATCTGTCTGTAAACAATTGTTGGAAAAATTACTTGTGTCATGCACAAAGTAGATGTCCTACCCGACTTGCCGAAACTATAGTTTGTTAACAAGAAATTTGTGGAGTGGTTGAAAAACGAATTTTAATGACTCCAACCTATGTGTATGTAAACTTTCGACCTCAATTGTATATAAATTCCATGACTGTAAAGAATATCCTATTGTAGTGTCTAAACAGTTTATGACTTTGTTGATGTTGCAAATGGTGTGTTAGAGGAAGTCTGTTAGGTGGCCTCCTGGGATTGGTTTATGGGAAAACACCCATATTATGTTACATAGGGCATAGGATATAAATACCATGGTTGAAACAAAGGACGGGTAGTAACAACATATTAGATTGGGTCGGTTGTTCTCCAGATGCCTGCAGAAGTCTGTAAATTGACGCTGAAATCTTTTGATATAATAAACCTTTATAATCAAAGTACAGTGTCAGTGGATTCCTTGTTCTCACAGCATAATTAGCATAATTATTTAGTTACTACAGAATGGCGACGAGGAACTTTGGGACGTGTTGCGTCACTCCAGCGTTCCATTCATGAGCTACGAAGTGACTCCCGCTCAAGACGCTGGCACATAAGGTGAGATTTCTCACAATTTTGTGCGGTCGGTCGCTGGTCTGAGTGTCGTTTGTTTGCTTTTATTTGTGGTTTCGTGTGTGCAGCGGGGAGATGTATTAAATATGCAGTATTTGC